ATGTCATTTAAGATAGCTGTTTTCTTGTTGATTAGCCTGTATAGAAGATCTGTCCAGTGATGTCAGCAGAATGTCAAAGTCCCCTACTAGTACTGTATTGCTGTTGCTCTCTCTCTTAAAATCCTCCAGGAGTTTTAAAATATATTTTGGTGCTCCTATATTTGGTACATATATGTTTACCTGGATAGATCCTTTTGGTATTATGTAGTGACCTTCCTTGTCTCTTGTTATGACCTTCATTTTGAAGTCTATTTTGTCAGATATAAGTATTGCTACCCCAGCTTATTTTTTGTTCCCATTTGTATAGAATATTTTTTCCATCTCTTCACTTTCAGACTGTATGTATCTTTTGTTTTCAGGTGGGTCTCTTGTAGGTAGCGTATAGATAGGTCTTGTTTTCTTATCAGCTACCCTGTGTCTTTTGATTAGAGCATTTAATCCATTTAAATTTAAGGTTATTATTCATAGGTACTTATTGTTGTCATTTTATTCTTTATGCTTATGTTTTTCTCTGTCTCTCTATTTCCTCTGTTCTTGCAACAGCCCCTTTAGCATTTCTTGCAATGGTGGCTTGGAGGTAATAAACTCCTTTAGCCTCATCTCTGCCCCCCCATTTTTTTTTTTTGTCTGGGTAGCTCTTTATTTCACCTTCAATTTTGAATGATAGCCATGCTGGATAGAGTAGTCTTGGTTTTAGATCTTTGCTTCTCATTACTTTGAATATTTCATGCCATTTCCTTCTGGCCTATGTTTCTACTGAAAAATCAACTGGCAGTCTTATGGGAGCTCCCTTGTAAGTAAATGTATGTCTCTCTCTTGCTGCCTTTAAAATTATTTATTTGATTCAGTGTTTGCCATTTAAATTTTGACGTGTCTTGCTGTGGTTCTCTTTGTGTTTATTTTTATTGCTACTCTCTGTGCTTCCTGAACTTGTGTGACTTTTTTCTTCACCATGTTAAGGAAGTTCTCTGTCAATATTTCTTCAAACAGGTTCTCTATCCCTTGCTCACTTTCTTCTTCCTCTGGTAACCCCATGATGCATTTTATGTTGCTCCATTTCATGTTGTTCCACAGTTCCCTTAAACTGTCCTCATGCTTTTTAAGTACTTTTTATTTTTGCTGCTTTAGTTGAGTAATTTTTTTCTACCTTGCCTTCTAATTTGCTGATTAGACCTCCAGCATCTTCCAATCTACTGTTGATTCCCTCTAGGTTATTCTTTATTTCAGCTGACATTGTTCATTTCTGACTGGTTCTTATTCATGGTTTCTATATCTTTTTTTCATGCTGATATAGTTCCCACAAAGGTCTTTATAGTTCTTACTAAGTTCCTAGTAGTTTTCACTGAGTTGTTTGAGTATCTTTATAACCATTACTTTAAACTCTATATCTGATAAAATGCTTACCACCATTTTATTTAGCTCTTTTTCCTAATATTCTTCCTGTTATTTTATTTGGGGCCTGTTTTTATTCCCCCCCCGCCCCCGCTTTTTTTCTGTTTCTTCCTGTGTATTGAATAAAACAGCTATGCTTACCTATCTTGATTTGGTGGCCTTCTTGTGGGAATTAGTGGTGTCATGTCCTTGATCTTCTGAGCTGGGTGCACTAGAAATGTCCCTTGTGTGGGTTATGTGGGCCCTCCTATTAAACTTGGGTTTTGATTGCTCTTGTCCTATTTGTGGGTGGGCTCAGCCCTCAAGCTTGTTGACTGTGAGTCTTAACCCCGACTATGGCATGCCATTTATTATACCAGTGTAGACAAAACAAAATGAGACAAAACCAGATTAAATGAAAACAACATAAAGGAAAACAAGACAACAAAAAGATAAAAACAACCACAACAAAAAAGGCTCAAACAAACAAACAAACAAACAAACAGAAAACACACACACAGAAAAACACCAGAAGACATGAGACCAACAGAAATACAGGAGGAAAACAACAACAACAAAACAAGAGAATGTTAAAGATGGAAGCAACAAGAAATAAAGTATACAATGTAAAAAAAAATTTAACAAAATAATAACTTTAAAAAGTAATAAAATATAGAGTAGGAAAAGGTAAAATAAAAAAAATTAAGTTAGAAATAAAAGTTTTTAAAAGTAGAAAAAAAGAAAAAAGTACACTAAAAGGAAAGATAGAAAATATGAGAGAAAAATCATACCAAATCAACCAAACAAACAAAAAACCCTTTAGATCTGCTATTTGTGGAGCTTGTTGGATTTTGCTCCAATGTTGTTGGATCTAGCCCCTTGCTGTGTTGGTCCCAGGCTTCCTGGAAAATTCTCTGGTGCAGGCCAGTGTGAGCCACTGTTCCTGCCTGGTCCTGGGCAACCTGACTGAAGCCCTGTAGGGTGGATCCCTAAGTAATCCGGTGGGCAGGGCCTCTCTAGCCCTGAAGCTGGATCGGCTTTGTGACTCGCACCTTGAATGTCCTTGTTCTGAGCTGCTCTCCTTTCACCCAAAGAACTGGGCTCTGCAGAGATATCTGGGTCCTGATCAGGATGATTTAAACAGATTCTTGTTAGGGGCGGTGCTCATAGCTTGTAGGAGGGGTGAAGGGGCACTTCCTCTTCTTCCAATGCCTCAGCTCTGCTGGGTCACTGGAATCCCTTGTCCCATTCTAATCCTCTTCATATATTAACAAACATGCTTGCCTAAATGGTACTCCTCAGTTTTGACAAGCCAGACAGCACAAACATTACTGCCATTTTACTGAATTAGTGGTGAGATAGATGGTAGGTATTGACTAGACTATCTATGTTTTTGTGTCTCACATATGGTGGGTTATTAAACATATGTAGACTTTAGATATGAGAAATATTTACACAGTTTTTTCCTGTCATCCATGAACAGACTCAGTTGGTGAACTCTTTCAGAAATGAAGAGAGAACACTGAGTAAAGAGCAGTCTTTGGCAGCTGAGAGTTTAATTACTAGGAATTTATTCAGAAACTGTCTGTGACTAAATTTTACAAGAGGATCATTCCGGGCTGCTAACTTGTTCTGAGCATCAGCTCTGGTCTCTGGATCATGAGGCTGGCAGGGATTTGCTGGACAAAAACAATGTCAAGTTCACTAACAGAGCACTGCCAGCATTTAATCCAAGTGGCCAAAAGTTAGTACAAACCTCTGCAAAGTTTTCATTCTGAGCTAATTTTCTACAAGCCCCCAAACTTTATTTACAACTTTGTTACACCATTTATCACATTCTGCTTTTTATTATATATATATATATATAATTTTTAATTATATTATTATATATATATTTTATATATATGGTGTGTGTGTGTGTGTGTGTGTGTGTGTGTGTGAACCTTATCTCCTTGCTGGATTAACATGCTTCTTTACACATAAAATGGAGAAGTTGGAATCAGCTTGAGGGTCCATCTCAATTCACTGTTCTTTGTCAAATAATTTGAGGAACCTTAGGAAGAGAATCTGTTTTACTATCTAATGTTCAATACCTCTGCTAGAATAAAAATTTAGCAAGTACCTATCAAATTAAAATGAACATTGTGTGCACAAGAAGTGGATATAATATTACTGTGACCTTATGTGCTGAGGCAAACTAAACAGCTTAAATATCTGTTTATAAGCCACTTGTTAAATACAGTTAGGCTCAACACACAATAGACTGCTAAGCATCTGTTCAAAAGCTTAAGGCAGATCATATGGACCAATATGGAACAATCTCCAAGACATAAGTGAAAAAAGTGAGACGCAGAATGATGTGTAATAAATTATTTTGTAATACACTTTGCAATTTAAAAAGGTGTGCAAAGAATATTTCTAGAAAGATACAAAATAAGTTACCAGTAGTTGCTGATGAGGAGGGAAACTAGACAACTAAGACAGAGGTATTGGCGGGTTGATAAACTAGCTCTCTGAAGATTAAAAAAAAGTCCTATTTGTAGAGTTAGATTATATCTGTGGTGTAACTACCCCCATCATGGACAATTTCAAGCCAACAATGGTCTAACAGTAGCTCACAAAATTGGGTTAAGTGAACTGAGGTGAGCTGGCTTCAAAGCACACCACGAGCTACGGGCGTGGGAAGGTGGCCTACTTTCCACTATAGACCCTATGGTACAATTTTAATTTTTGATGCCATGTTTGGACTATTTAAAATGTAACAATAAACTTTAAACTTAGAAAAATGATCATGCTGAGATTGCTGCATTCCTTTATCCTTCTCTTCTCCAAGAGAATCGTGGTTTTCCTTCCTCGAGAGCACTACCCTGCTATCCTGATCCATTCAGGAGACCTGCCAGTGCAGTCTTGTACAAAAAACACTTGATATTTTTAACCCTTTTACAAGTAGGGAGGGCAGCTACCTTCTTAGTGCAGAAGCTGCAAGAATGTTCTAGCCAGGAATGAACCATCACCAAGAAGCTGCTGCTAGTGCAGCCACGACACACAGCTTGAGCACAAAAGCTCAGTTCCCTAGCAGCTGTGTGCCTGTGTGATGCCTCATGGTAAGAAAGTGAAGATGCTTTTCTGTCACAGCAGCCCACCTGGCAGGGAGCCACTGCAGCAGAAGACCTCAGCATATCCCTCCCCTCTGCCTGCCAAAGTGAGGCCCAGCCAGTTAGTGAGGAGACCTGGGCACTGCCCACCCAAAAGATTAGTTCTCAAATCGCTCTAGAAGCTGTTTGACATCAATCCCCAAGACTGGCTTTTGTTCACAACTGGGTGCAGTGTGTTACTAAGAATTTGTGTTTCAACTCTAATTTTTAGCCTCCACTTTGTCAAACTCCCTCCATCTTATTATTCAGTTTTCAGCCAAAATATGTCTTAGTTTCCTCTGTTACAAGCTCCAGTCTCACCTTGTCCTTATCAGTCACTCACCACACCCATTGGTTTATTTGTTTAGCATTTGTTTATTTCCTGATCAGCTGACTACAATGCCTGTCTCATTTATAGGCATTTATAATTGAGTGCCTGGCACTCAGTTAGTGCTGGCTGAATGAATGAATTCATAAGTTATAACGCCATCAAAGGATATTCAATATGAGGAACATTTTATTTGGAGAGATTGTGAACATTACCTTCATTTTCAATTAAGGCAGTAACATTCTTCCTCAAGGCAGATGGAAGAGAATTGTCTGAGGCTACATTACGTGCAGATTAAGACAAAGCCAACCAATTTGTATTCAGATGCCACAGAAGCCACACATTGGCTTCCAGAGCCCATAGCCGAGGAGCATATCCAGGGTGACACATTTCAATGCTTTGAAAACCAGCTAAGTTCCATTACATACCACCCCTAAAGAAGATACTTCATTGATGAGTCCTTTCAGCACTGTAGAGAAGGTCTGGTTCACAATGTTCTGTTGCTTCTTAGCTTTCGGTAGGCTTTCATGGAAATTATATAACCTATTAGGTTTGCTTAAATTCACACTATTTCTCTGGCTTTATTTTGGAATTCTTTAAATATGTAGGAAATTTTATCTTCATAAAGCAACTAAGCCAGTTTTACATGATTAGGTATGGCTAGGTATGTATGTGAATATGTGTGTGTGTGTGTGTGTGTGTGTGTGTGTGTGTGTGTGTGTTGGGGTGGGAGAAGTGAGCTGGGGTCCTGTTCATTGGCACATATTGCCCCCCTGGGAGTTTGGGGGTGGCAAAAAGCTTTTACAGTACCAAAAAAGTAAACATTGATAATATGGTGGCCTGGCAGCAATCAAATACACTAAGATCTCAGAGCAAATTAAAGCAGAGCAGGATTGTTCCCACTCACCATATATTTAGCCATACCACAAGAGCTAGGTTCAACATGCAGGGCTCTGGACATGGAGAGGCAAGTACCAAAGGACAGATGCTTTGCTGTGGTTTTATGCTGCCTTCTGGTGGTTTAACGCTCAATTACATCCATTTTGGATCTAACCAAGAGTTAGGAATCTACCTGAAGGCATAGTATTAAAGTTAGATCTGGTCTGAGCCCAAATACTATTGGCTGAAAAAAAAAGAAACCCTGATAACAAATGGGACCTGAGCTCTGAGGAAAAGCTTGGATAATGAGTCATTTCTGCAGGTTACTAGAGATTCTTGGGCCTGACTGATCTGTCAGATGCTCCAAATGGCCTTCAGAAGTGGGTCACAAAGAAGGCATAGTTCTGTGAGGGTGGAGAGCAAAGTCACAGGGAGAAGGGAGACAGAAAGAAAGGCTTGTCACAGATCAAATGTCAGCCTCCAGAAACAGGCTTTAGGATGGGTTTGATAGTTCCCTCTGCTGGTCCTCACTTTAAAGAAAATAGCCAAATTAAGCTGGTTTGAAAGATTATGTTAAAATTAATAACACTGCAGCTTCTATACTTGACTAATGCAGGAAGCAGAAATGGTACTTGGAAAATAAGTTCTTTTTTTTCTTTCTAGATCTGTCAAAGAAGCAATAAATTCAATAGTAAAAAAATATTTGTAAGAAATTGGGTCTTTTGCAAAGAATGAAGCACTTTTTGTTAAATACAGAAGAGGCTAAATATACACTTTTTGGATCTTGTGTAATGTCACCAAGCTGAAGCTGCAGTGGCTTGAACTGTCTCCGCGCTTCTGGGGAGCCTCTGTGCTGAGCAGACAGGTGTGCTGCCTCCAGCCCCACCCTGCTGGGCCTTACACCCTCTTCATTCCTTTCCCCATGAGGCAGGCAAACACTGTCATGACCATTTTGGGGTTCACTTCAACCAGGTCTTCTGGAAGGGCATATACTCTTGCTCCAATTTTTCGGGCCATAGAGATAGCATACCTAAAAGGGAGAGAACAAGAAGAATGAGGAGAGCCAGAGCAACAAAGCATGAAGGGGACCCCTCAGGATCATAGGTATAATCATTACATAGTATGTACTGCTACATATGCTACATGACAGAGCTCAGTCCTGGTATGGCTAGAGCCAGTCACTGACATCCTCCCACCTTCATGGGCAAATCTTGGCTCGATAAAGCTCCTGACTCCCTCAGACTTGCTGTCTAGCCTACCAAATTTATTATTACTTGTCCTTAGATATCCTCCTAGCTCCTGCCACTTTTGATGCCTACACCATGAGTATTTTCTTGGGCTATATGGCAACAGAAAAAGTGATCAAACTGGAGAAGAATGTGTACTAGGACAAGTTTCAGACTATATTTCAACGACAAAAACATACTTACATGGAAAAACAAAGGAAAAATGCATCTGTAATACTTTGACCTTACACATCAATTATTTTATTCCTTGTTCCATTCCAACCCTTGTGCACATATACACGTATTTATTTATGTGGCTATGATACTAGAATAGTCAGAGTTTTATATTATACATTTTTCACATAAAATAATCATGAGAACATTTTTCTCTATCTATAGTTATAGGAATATAATTTAATTAGCTGTAATTTATTTCAAATGAGCCTACATTACTACCTGTCAGTTCTTTCATTCACTTTGTTATCTAGCAACTTCTTACAATAACTACTCCAGAGATTCTCCATTGCTCCCAAGTCCCCAGCACTCTCCTTGCTCCGCTAAAATAACTTTATTCTTACTTTATGGATCAATTAAATTAAGAATATCAGGCCAAACTAGTCCTTATAGTTTCTTCTTGTCCGTCTCACAATCATTTCCTCTATATTAATCATTAATAAAATAAAATATATTTTCAATTAGAAAATATAAAGAAAAATTATTTAAAAATTAGAAAATAGAGCTTCAAAAAAATCATGTACAATCTTGCCACCATAAGCGTTTTTAAGATTTTGCATAATTTCTTCTACCCATTTTTAAAGTAGTTTTGTATCTTGCCCTTACTCGGAGAGTGTTTAGGAGCCTGGGCCCTGAAGTCAGACATTGAATCTTAGCAGAACCACTTAATAATCATAAAAACCTTGGGCAAGTTCCTGAAACCTAGTCATATCCATCTTGAACATCTAGACTCAAGCTCTTTTCAAAGTCATTTTGTTATTGTTGTTGTTAATTTCTGGGTCTTCATACATGTTCTTCCCTCTGCTTGGAGTGTTCTTCTTATCTCCCTCATCTGTCTAGTTCCTTCTTATTTGTCCTTTCAATCCATCTCAGCATTGAGTTATCTGCTCTGCAAAGCTTAAGTTTCCTTCCTGTCTCCTTCATAGGACCCTCTACCACGCTTCCATACCACCCATCACACTCTATTGTAATTGTCATTCAATTATTTATCTTCTCTTCATTATATTGTGCTAAATATCAGCATACCAGAAACGCAGGTCACCACATCCCCAAATTGGGAACAGAGAGGAGGACACTGTTGGGGATACACACACACACACACACACACACACACACACACACACACAGTGGGTTAAATTGTGTTCCTCAAAAAAGGTATGTAAAAGCTCTGTCCCCTAGTACCTCAGATTCTGACCTTATTTGGTAATATGGTTGTTTAAGATGTAATTACTTGAGATGAAGCCATGCTGGAGTGATGTGGGCTCTAATGCAATATGATTGGTGTTCTTATAAGAATAGTGGAAGAGACACAGACAGACGCACAGGGAAGACAGCCGTGTGAAGTCACAGACGCACAGGGGAGAAGGCCATGTGGAGACAGGGGCAGAGATTAGATTGATGTGTCTGCAAGTCAAGGATTGCTGGCCAATGCCAGAAGGCAGGAGAGAGGCAGAGAACATGTTCTCCATCATAGCCCTCAGAACAAACCAGTACCGTTGACACTTGATCTTGGACTTGCCTCCACAGAGTGAGAGAATACATGTCTGTGAGATCACCTTGCTTGTGGTATTGACTATGGCAGTCCTTGGAAAGTAATACAACCTGCTCTGAGAAAGGCACTTCTCTAGAATAGAGGTCTCCACACAAAGGACAAGATAGTAAATATTTCAGATTTTGTGGAATTTGTAGCAGGGAAACATATAAATACACACACACACACACACACACACACACACACACACGGCTGTGTTTCAATGAAACTTTATTTATAAAAGCAGACAATGGGACAAATCTGGCTCCCAGACTATAATTGTCTGCTGATCCTCACTCTACACGGTCAAGCAAATGGCAGTTGCTTACAAGCTGGAGAAGACTGTGATCTTGAACACCATCCCCTGCCCATTTATATATATGGATATTCACAAAAAGGGTGTTTGTATTTGGGCTGGCCTGCCATAAACAAACTGAAGTCTCCTATAGATGTGATTAGAAAATTGGTTCTATGAAAAAATAGGCTTGCTTATCAATGAGAAGAATACCCTTGCTTTTTGTCTTGCTCCCTCTAATGTTAGAAGACTTAAACTACTATTGCACAATATCTAAAATAATGATAATGGGACACAATAAGTCATGAGAAGAGAAAGCATCAATAGTGAAACTAAAGTGTTTGCAGAAAGACACAAGCAATAGACTTTATAGGTACCCAGTTACAGTTGGGTCCTTCCCTCCCTGACCTCAGGTCTATTTACGTACTTTGCATTGTTGAGTTTCTCTTCATTGTTCAGGTTTTCTGTCTTCAGAAGGTCATAGTTAATGGAACCTGGTTGAATGGCATCAATAAGATCCAGAACAGGCAAGCTTGTACTAATCTTGGGGTCCTGTACACAAAGAAGAGAAGAGTGGGTTTTATCAGTATGCCTCCCAGGTTACTTCTGTTTTGCTCAAGGGAAGTGGGTGTTTCTTTCCTCTTAAATATGAAATATATACAGCCTGGTCTGGGAACTGCAACAGTGTTGCACATTAATTGTAGTTTCAGATCAGTTGTAGTTTCTGTAGAGGCACAAGTAACTTCCTAAGTAGCTCACTAAGCGGAGGAAACCCATTGTCTGACAACAGGCAGGGAGCCATTGCCAAATAGTGAGAGAATGAAAGTAAGCACAGCTAGAGAAAAGCAGAGAGGTTGAAATGTTTAATGCAACTACTGGTATGAGCAGAGGAAGAGATGATTTAAAAAAGAAACCATCAGAAAGGAGAGACCAAAGACGCTAGGAGAAGCCTTGCTTCATCTTGGGGGATGGGCAGGGATAGTGACAGGATCAGCTGGAGAGGAGTTTTAGTAGATGCTCATTTCTTGGAGACCTCAAGGGAAGGAAAGAGTCATAGGATCAGGGAGATAGTGTTGGCAACAGTAACTAATATTTATTGGTGTCTCACAGTTTGCTTACCACATTTTTTTTTTTTTCACAATTGTAGGTTGAATTTTCTTCTCACAATAATTCTTTTTTCTCTTTTTTAAAAATTAAGTTAATTGGGGTAACATAAAATTTAATTTTTATAAAATTAAAATTAAGAATCAAGTATACAATTCTATAATACATGATCTACATACTGTATGTGTTTACCACACCAAGTCGAGTCTCCTTCCATCACCATTTATCCTCTTTTACCCACTCCTACCTCCCCCCAACACTTCTTTCTCTCTGGTAGTCACCATACTGTTATCTGTGTCTGAGATTTTTTCTTGACGCCTACACTTTTTTTTTTAATCCTTACCGGAGAACATCTTTGCATTTATCTTCAGATAGAGCGGGAGGGAGAGAGCAAGGAAGAGAGGGAGAGAAACATTGATGTGAGAGAGACACATCGACTGGTCGCCACCACATGACCCCAACCAGGGCGGGGGACAAACTGCAGCCGAGGTACCTGCCCTTAGTGGGAACCGAACCTGGATTTCTCTGGTCCGTGGGCCAACGCTCTAACCACTGAGCCAAACTGACCAGGGCTTTCTTCATCTTTTAAAGTAAGTTACCTCACTTGTCACCACAGATGTAGGCATTTGATTTAATTTACAGTGAGTATAGGGAATCTCTGAGGTTAAATTACTTGCTGATAAGTGGTGGACCTGGGATCTGAACCCAGGTCTCACAATCCAGGCCTCTTTCTTTGGCATTCGTAAACATTCTGATGGTCACACCTGGAGCTGTCAATGTTCCCCTAAGGTGTAAATGCACAAAACTGTACCATCTGTCCTCTCTGCTAGAGACCTGTGAGTGCAGACATGGAGAGGCACCTGCTTGCCCCCATCCAAGCACAGTCAAGTCCAAAAGCTTCACACTTCAAGGGCCCAAATCAGATCAATTCTAAGCAAGAAACAAGGCACAGGACACCTGCATGATGCTAGGTCCCTAGCACTGGTACTCTGTATAGGTAGAATAATATTTAAAAAAATATATAATGGGTCCATTTTTATTTACTCCTGGGTAATATACAAACTACCACAAAACTAAAATCAATGGATACTCCTAATCTAAATCGCACCATCATGCTCAGCGTCTGTCTTCACAGAGCCCCTCAGTGGAGAGCCCTGGGGAGCAGGCTAGGAGGCTCCAGCTCCACCTTCGTCCCTGCTTTCTGTCCATGACCCTGCAAGGCTGTCAGCAGGCGGAGAAATGGTCAGAACTCAAAGGTGAGAAGGAGATGAGGAACATTTCCGCAGTGGTTAATCAAGAGTGGGTTGTGCTCTTCTTGAAGGGTTTCCCTTAAAAAGCAATGTGGGGTAATTTGACATTTTCCTTTTATGGCCCTTTTTACTTAATCAATTCTGAAATGACTTAGAGAACAGGAGAAAGTTAACCCAGAGAGAAACAAGGAGCAAAGAATTGTCAAACATTCCCAAGAGTGAACCCCCATGAGAATATCCAGGAGAAGGGAGTCATGGGCGCAGGGCAGCTGTTTACAAAGAGATGCAGCCATTGAGCCAGTGGCTCCACAGTGACAATTAAGTGACCTGTAGGTACACAGTGCTCTACATCCTCATCCACAGTCAAAGCCACTTTCTCCTCACTGATGGACCATCACTGGAAATCACTAGCCTCAACCTCAGGAGTTACTTGAGCTCTAATTTCCTCACCTATAAAGTGAAGAAAAGCATAAAGCTGACTTCACAATGTCTGTGAAGATGAAATGAGACATTACAAACAAGGAGCCCCTGGGACTCAGCCCGCTCTCCATGGGGCGTGCCTTCTCCTCTGTTCTCCACCACCTTCCAACTGTCTTTGTGGGAGAACTTGCTCATGTCTGGCACCAGCCTTCGTATTTCTGCTCAGCAATCCAGACTGAAGGGGAGGCTGTTACCTGTGATGAGCTCACAGGGACTGGGCCCTCCGGGTACAGCCCAACCTTTCTGCCCTTTCTGGTGGGGAGAGATTTTACCCTCCCCCCCCCCTTGATTTTGAAGCAGATGATTGATATCTTGATAAACTGTCTCACTGACTCTATTAATACAACTCCAAACTAGTCTTTCCCCCAGTCTTGACCTTTAAACCAGAAAAATGTATTTAAGAGAGCACAGACATTATAATACGAATGAAGTGCATAGGTCCCTTGAGGAAGGATCTAGTTATTGCATAAAACATGAACTAAGAAATTTAATAAAAGAATGCTGTTATTAATGAAAATGGGATTTGGATACAAGTATATACCATATGGGAGATCTTGTAGCATTTTACATTTCACCATCATAATGTTAACAGTCTCAATAATGGAGCTGTGCCCATTTAAAGATACTATATTTTGTGTTACTTTGGAAGAATAATGCCTGGAATGTATGTAAAAAATGATGGGTTTTTAAAATTAATTATTGCAGGAGAAAGTGACAAGAGGTTTGTGAATGAAATGGTTTATGAACACCAATAATGGACCATTCAGCAAAATCAAAATTGGAACCTGAACAACCTCACACTTGAGGTCACTTTAAAATAAATGAAAAACAATAGTGATAAAATGGAGCTCGGGTGGTCACGAGCAGTAGACTAAGAATTTTACCTTGAAACTAGAGATGGATGAACGTTTCTCTGCATTCTTCAATGTTTCATTTACCCAGCTGACAATAATGTCATCATTGACCTTCTGCCCACCTCCAATTTCTTCCAGGATATTCAGTGTGTACCTGAACAAAATCAAGAATGATTTCTTGAGAAAAGTTGCCAGATAATTCAACATCACAGAAAGTAGGTAAGTAGAAAATGTTTTTTCTTTCTAGGTATGTCACAAAAGATAACCTGGATACCATTATATTGGTAGGGCATGGGGGAGGAAAATATATACACATTCATTTTTTTTAGGATAACTTAAAATGTAACTTTATGGTTTTTAGAGTGAGATGAAGAGCAACACCTCCTTGTAAGCATGCTCCCTGCTTCCTGGGTAGGAAGAGGGCAGATGAGCAGAGAAGCAAGGAGAGGAAAATGATGCAAAAGATTTGAACCAGTAATGCTTTTCTTAAAGGAACTGTAAAAAATCAAGGAACAATTCAATGTTAGAAAAAGCCTACGTAGCCGACATATTAAAAAAAATACATAAAAGAGTTTCCTTCTTATATCATAGAAGTTGAAATATTAGGACTATCTCACAATGAAGGTCACTTTAAAATAGAAACCAAATGTCCTGGCTGGTTTGGCTCAGCGGTTAGAACGCTGGCTTGCGGTCCAGAGAGACCTGGATTCAGTTCCCGCTAAGGGCACATACCTCAGTTGCAGTTTGTCCCCAGCCCTGGTTGGGTCATGCGGGTGCCAACCACTCGATGTGTCCCTTTCACAGTGATGTTTCTCTCTCTCTCTCTCCCTCTCCCTCCCTCCGTCCCACTCTATCTGAACAAAAAATGGAAAAAATGTCCTCAAGTTAGGATAAAAAAATAAAATAAAATAGAAACCAAAGTTAATCTCTAGTCTGAGAGTAAGAATCACCTTGGATACAGTTATGAGAACTGGGTTTGTTTGGGAACTTATTAGGAAATCTCAAGTTCTTAAAATTTCATAGAACTGAGAAAACTTACCATTCCCTAAGGCCACTCCTTCTGAGAGGGGAAATACACAGAAGAAAGCCAAGCAGTTGAGCAGGTTTGTTGGCCTAAAGGTTAAGGCTCATAGCAGAGGGTCAATTTGCCCTTGAAAAACCTTCAGGGCTAGGGTTTCAGTGTGCCCTGTTCATTCTGAACCTCGTGTCCTGTCTGGAGAGAGGGCTACCCAAATGAGGGCATCCTCATTGGTTGCCTGGGGTTCTGCGTACACAATCCACTGGATGTCCTCTCCCACAACTTCCTGATTCTATGGAAAACACAATTCTCCCACAATTTTTCACATGGTTTCAAGTTTAGTCTCTGAAATTGGAGTAATGCCCTGCCTTCTCCGGGTTATTGCACCTTTCGATCATTGCAGGTGGGAGGAAAGGGCTCCTGCGACTATATACTGGGTGGGGCAAAAGTTGGTTTACAGTTGTGAATATGGGAAACAGAGTTTATTCTTGTATTATTTATTACTATATATTTTCCATATAAACAACTTAAACCTACTTTTGCTCCACTGTGTGTGTGCGTGCGCGTGTGTGTGTAATCATGTTTACCAATTTGGCATCAAAATCCTCTCAATCATACCTCCTCCAAGTCCCTCAAACCAACTGGCTCTCCTTCATTCTGCCTCTCCTCCTCATAGAATTACTTTTCTCAATTATAGTTCTGATCATGTCTATTAAAGTGACCCTCCATGGCCCAAAGAATACAGGTCAACTTCCTTAGAATGGCACACGAGGACCTTCATAATTTGGCCTTAGTGTCTCTTTTCAGTGCATCTCTGATTTCTTATCCCCCCCTCTCTTCTCAGCCTTGTCCCCAGGCCCCCAGTGAATACACACTCCCCTTTCAATCTCACAGAGCCACCTCCCTGCCCACACCACGTACCCTCCTGCCTCTGTGGCTCAGTTATGTGCTCTGGCAAGAGATTCTAGTTCTTCGAACGAGTTTCAGTTCAGCATAATTTTTTCTGACCCATACAGTGTATTAATCATTGTTGCTGCACTTACTTCCAGCCAGTTTCCCAGAACTTCTGATGGAGTTGATGTGCATGTGTCTGCCTACCATGTCCTCCCAGACAAAAGCCATAACCCTGTTCCTCATAGTGTGTTTAGGGTTAGCAGAGTGTCTAGTACATAACTGAGCATCTAGTATATGACGTAGGGAAGTGGTGGGTGAAATAAATAGAATGAATTCTCCTATAGGAAGCAAGAAGATAATGAAAGCGGATAGTATTTAATGTGGACCGAGAGATAGAACCAAAATGCTAAAGACTAATGAAGACCAATGGGATAAGTCCCAGGTAGATTTTCAAAATATCCCTAGTTTGGAAAACAACCCTAGTTTTGATCTGTTCATAATGATGATGTTTTATTGTAGCTCTGGCATGTTGTTTCTGAATAATTAGCATGTGTATTAAGTTATTAGCATCTACTATAACATTTAAGCATTTTGGCCTATTATACTCATTGAGGATGGTAGGTTAGTGCTTACTTCCTTTGGGCACGTCTATATAGCTTGATGAAAACACAGCTCAAGCCCTGGCCGGTTTGGCTCAGTGGTTAGAGCATCAGCTTGCAGTCCCGAGAGACCTGGGTTCAGTTCCCGCTAAGGGCTTGTACCTCGGTTGCAGTTTGTCCTCGGCCTTGGTTGGTCGTGCAGGTGGCAGCCACTCAATGTATGTGTCCCTTTCACATCGATGTTTCTCTCTCTGTCTCTCTCTCTCTCTCTCTGTCTCTCTCTCTCTCTTCCACTCTGTCCCTCCTACTCTACCTGAACAAAAAAATGGAAAAAATGTCCTTGGGTGAGGATTAAAAAAAAAAAGAGAGAGAAAACACAGCTCAATCTTCTAGCAGCTTCACTCACCTCAGGGATGATTCTCACATGGACAGACACAGTGCTTTTGACCTAATTCTTGAGCTAGAGAAGAAAATGGCACAGAGGAGAAGCTTACCTTGTACAAAGGTCTATCTGTGAGAGTATATATTTAAAAGTCACTAAAGAACAGGGAAGTTTAAAAAGATGCAGAAAATTGTGGAGGCAGCTCACTGCCTTCAGAGGACTGAGAATGGCCTCCATGGTGGCAGTGCTCTGGCGAGCTCAAAGTTGGTGTTCTGCCAACTCACGGGAGCTGCAGAGGTTTAAATGGACTCTGATACTTGCTTATAAGTACAATGGAAAAACAAAGGGAAGAAAGAATAAAATTAGGTTGGAACTTCAAGTCTAAGCACTAAATGTAGATACAAAATTTAAAACAGAAATTAATTTGGCCTGTGTCTACCTATGATTTTCCTTGTAAAATACTCCATATTATCAAATATGTTTAGGGACACCCTGACCGGTTTGGATCAGTGGTTAGAGCATCGGTCTGTGATCCAGAGAGGCCCAGGTTTGGTTCCTGCTAAGGGCATGTATCTCGGTTGCAGTTTGTGCCCGGTCTTTGTTGGTCGTGCAGGTGGCAGCCACTCGATGTGTCCCTTTCACATTGATGTTTCTCTCTCTCTCTCTCTCTTCCACTCTATTTGAACAAAAAATGGAAAAATGTTCTCGGGTGAGGATAAAAAAAATATATGTTTGGGGACAACTGTGCTATTACTAAGAGATCTCTCCAGACAAGATCTCAGTACCACAGGTGTTTGTAAAACTGTGCTACATTGAAAAATCTTTCATGAAAACGAATGGGCACCAGGAGCCCCAGCTTCAGCCAGGGCCTCAGTCAGACAGACAGGATTGATGAGGGGTACAGTGTGGGCCTCCATGAGCTGCTGTCATTACTTTTGTTGCTTTCCTGCCTTCCAACACTTATTTTGTTTACTTAACATTTGAACCAGAATGACAAACCTTGGTGTTTTGTTTTTCAAGGACCTATTCCAAATTCACTGCCCCAGTCTGTTTGATTTGGGGAGAATCCCCTCAATTGTCTGCCTCAGACTCTCTGTTCATTTGCTGGAGTCTAACTGGCAGCCTACTTCTTTCAGGCTTTGTCTCCAAATTAATACATACATGCAGCTTCTGGAGCTTCACTCCAGGGAGAAACATGAATTAAGTCACACGAACATAGGTTCTCATTAGGTGCTGTAAGAATTCTGCCTGGTCAGAGCTATCAGTATAGGGGGAAAAGCAAAGCATTTAAAAGTAAACAATTTTATACTTACAGATTTGCTTTCTAAAAGTCTTCCAAAAAATGCTTTTGTACCAAAGTTTTTCTTACAATTTATTTTCTATTTGTATATCTTATTATATTTCACTATTGTTTAATAATGTTACCATCTAGTTCTCATAAAAATCAAGTTTATAGGCAGCTCTAAAAGATATCTAAATTTTTCTTTTAGAGAACTAGCAGAAAATTCTGTTTCTGGTCATGATGTGGTAACAGGGACCTGTTTACGCTTCTGCCTTAAATGCCTAAAACACAATGAAAAAACACATGATACAATGTTGTTCAGACATCGGGTAACCGAAAGCACTAAATCTAAACAGTGGCCTCTGAAAGAGGGAAAACAAACGTGGCACACCCTAAGACTGCCCCAGCTCATTGGAGGAAGCATTTCCAGGCTGTAGTGCAGGGAGAGAAAACCTGAACGGAGCATGAGGGTCCTCCTGAGTTGAGGGGAGGGACTAAGAACTCAAGGAAGCCAAGGTGCCTAGAATTTGTGGGACAGAATACCAGAGAAGAGAAAGTTGCCTGTAAAGAACAGAATCATTTAGAAAGAAAGTTCCAGAGACCTTCAGAGAGTTTGCCTCGTCTCTGGCTGAGCACTACTCAGTGCATGCATGGGAGGAAATGCTGGAGGTTGGGAAAGAACTTTCAGAAATGATCAGGCAGAATAACTGGAGCTCACATGGGGCTGGAAATAATTTGGTTCCCTTCATTCAGACCAGAAGAACCATCTAATGATACATGGAGCATCAAGTAAAGTACTCAGAAGAGATGATCTCAGTATTGAGATACAAAATTAGCTCAAGTCTAATTAAGGCTTTAAGTAATCCTCAAAACAAAACAAAAACAAAAAACAAAACAAAAAAAAACAACTGCTTTTAAGTAATTACTGCATCCCAAAACTAAATTCTAGAATATTTAGAGGAAAACAGAAATATCCAGCACACATCAAGGTAAAATTCACAATGTCTCACATACAATAAAAAAATTAGGAGGCATGCAAAGAAGCAGGAACAATGACCCATAATGAGGATAAAATCCGTTAATAGAAACAGACCTAGAAATAATAGTTATTGTAATTATATTCTATTTGTTCAAGAAGGTAGAAGGAAGAACTATGGGAGATGCCAAAAATATCCTAATCAAATATTTCCACATGAAAACTATAATGTGTCTGGGATAAACATTATACACACTGGATAGGATTAATGGAAGATTAGATGTTGCAGAAGAGAACAACGAATTTGAATACAAAGGAATAGAAACCACCCCAAAAGCGACATATAGAGAAAAAAGTGAAACATAGAGGAGAAAAATGAATAGAGCTTCAGTGAACTCTGGGGCAACTTCAAATGATCAAATATGCGTGTACCTGGAATTCCCCCCTTTCCTAAAACAAGGGTGGGCAAATACAGGAGACATATTTGAAGAAATAAAGGCTCAAATTATTCCAAATTTGATGAAAACTATAAACCCACAGATTCATGACAAATCTCAATTATGAGAAACATAAAAGGACATTATAACAAAATTGCTTAACACCAGTGATAAAGAGAAAACCTTAAAAGAGATCCAAGAAAAAGGACATATTACTTACAGAGAAAGATAAAAATGACAACAGCTTTATCCTTAGAAACAATGCAGACCAAAAGAGTACATACTATCTTTGAGAAAAAACTATCAACCTAGAATTCTACACACAGAGCAAATATCTTTCAAAAATGAAAATGATATAAAAACTTTTCAGACATATAGAAACTGAAATTATTCCTCTACACTATTAGAAATATTTCAAGTAGAATGCAAATTATATCAAACAATTTGTTTTCTATACCACAGGAAGAAGAGGATCAGAAATGGCAAATATGTTGGTAAATGTAGCATATTTGCCCCTTATTTTGAAAACCTCTTTTAAAGATAATAGACTATAATTAACACAAGTCAATTTAAAGTAAATGAATGGAAAAAAAGATATGCCATACTAACACTAATCAACAAGAAGCTGGAATGGCTATATTAATGTCACAAAAAATAGATTTCAGAGAAAAGAATATTGCCAGGCATAAAGAGAGTCATTCCATAATGAAAAGGGGGTGACTAATTAAGAGGACAAAATAATCTAAAATATTTATGAGCCTAATAAAAAGAGTTTTAAAATACCGAAAACAAAAGTGATAGAACTGAAAGAAAAAAATAATAGAAAAAAATTTTTTAAATATTCTTTTGGTTTTATATTTAGCTTAAAATATAGTTTTCCTAGATTAATTCACATTCCTAAAATTTTTTTTTGTACTTTTCTAGGTTAATAATACACTCAATAAAAAGCCATATCCCTGAGTTGCATTACCTTCTCATTAACTGCCAGATCAAGGCCAATGTTAGCGTGCGGTTTCCTTCATTGAGATCTTGTCCACCAATGCCAACCAGGGAAAACTTAGCTTGATTCTTCCCCAGTTCCACTGCATAGTTACAATTCTCAAGCTGTTAATGAGGAGAAAGGGCAATAATCTAATGTCATCATCTCTATGGTGATAAATACCAGATGAAATAAGATAATAAAAATAAAGACACAAAATGAAATAAACATGATCAGATTAAATGATCTCTGAAGTCTCACCTGATTCTGTAATTCTAGGATTCTAAATTAGTTATGGAAATTTTCATCTTTTTAAAAATAAAACCTTTTATTTCCACCAAAAATATTCAAAGTGTGTGCTAAGTGCAAAACCAAAATAAATTAATCATTATGAACATTTTCATGGCTATGTCATATAAACAAAGCCATGTTCAGTTCATTGTCCATAATATTCCTAAAAGAGCTGAATTCAAAGGTTGGCATGGAAAATCTGGATTCTCTATCCCATGTGCACACAGAGGACTGACATGGGACAGGCATTCTGTGGCTATGCTTGGATGGTAAGAAATGTTTGTGCCAACCCCACTGCTACTTTTCCAAAACAATGTGTTCCCACTGTGTTGACATTAGACAAACTATTTGTACCAAACTGCCAGTACAAAGTTCCAATCAACAGAAGTAATGGACTCACTTTAATAAATCTATTTAGGTTTCTGATTACTCTGCTGTTATTTAAACCCTGGATAAACATTCACGGGTACTCTTGCAGGCTTATGCCTACTGGACATCTTTATTTACCTTCTTCATATTGCCCCCCAGTTTGGGGTATGGTGGTTTGTTTACTCTGTTCCAATCGACAGGGACTTTAATCTTTTCATAGAGCTGGAAGATGACCAGGGCATCTGATAAGTCACTGAACAAAAACAAACACAAAAGAATTCTCAGATAGCTAACATTTCTGAAGGGCTTATAGTAAGCTAGTTGCTTCCTTATATATTAGCTCAAGGAATATTCACAACTTGGTATAACTGGTGTTTAGCAGTTCCGTCTTTTGAGGTAAACAAACTGGCTTAGACATTGAGGGAACTGCTCGAGGCCTTCCCCAGGACCCCTTACGTCCCTTCTGCTAAAACACATTGCCTCCAGGAAGAAAATATGGCTCTAGTAAGTGACATAGGAGATAATCACAAACTTAACATTTATTGTTTTGCGTGCTTGTGAACAGATCATAGGCTGGCAACATATAGTACATCTGTCCTTTTGTTGGGTTATGATTTTGTTCTAAACCCACAGCAAGGCTGGTGTATGAAAGTGAGTTTCCCTCCTTCTGAACATCCAACATCAGCAGGTCAATTTGGCACTCCCCCTTCTCATCAAGGTACTCACATTTTGTGAAGAGAACTGCACATCATAGTGGTATTTGAAATCTTGGGGATTTTTCAAGGTCTCGATGTCTCATGTTAAGAACGAGTCTCCAAATATTCTTACCTGTACAAGTGATTAACTCGAGGGTTCACGCCCAAGGAGTTCATCCAGTTCCTAAACGTCCGCTCTTCTCTTGTCTCACCTAAATTAACAAAGACTGATTATCTTTCAGGCGCCTAGAAAATATGCTTTATGAAAGTTTAACTAAAGAGGCTGTAATAAAAACTTAAGTAGAATTTGAAAAATTAATTAAATAATCCCTGGTGGATTTGGATCAGGGTTGCTATTCTGTGTTAATTTTTTCTATTTTAATTTAACAAGTATTTCTATGGCATCTATTATCCGTGTTCAAGATCCTGTGTGGGTAAACTGTTCAGAGCTGGCCCTCAAAGGCTTACATTCTTTCTGGAGAAACAAGACTTTTAGGCATCAAAGAGAGATCATGCAAGTCAGAGGGCTAACATATAAGGTAGACACATATTATTTTTCTTTTATTTTTCTTCCATTTTTTGTTCAGGTAGAGTGGGAGGGAGAGAGAGGAACAGAGAGAGAGAGAGAGAAACATCGATGTGAAAGGGACACATCGAGTGGCTGCCACCCGCACAACCGACCAGGGCCGGGGACAAACTGCAACCGAGGTACGCACCCTTAGCGGGAACCGAACCCGGGTCTCTCAGGACCGCAGGCCGACGCTCTAACTGCTGAACCAAACCGGCCAGGGCAAGGTAGACACATTTGTTATTTGAGTTGAGATAAGGGAGAGAATAGTATGGGCTAAATTTAGAGGGAGTGGAAGCTGAGTTTCACCTTCTGGCACTTGTAAAATCTGGATAGTGGAGAAGACAGGGGAGGATTTGGGGGTATGGGAAGGGGTGGGAAATAGTGTCAATATGAGAACAAAGAGAGTGATAGGCAAGGTCTTATTAAAACTGTTAGGAACTGACTTTTTTGGGAATCTGTGGTGTTCAGTACACACAGATAAGGCTGCCCAGTGGCTGCATCCAGAATCAGGGATCTTTGAGTGTGAAGTAGCAGATTTGGATCGATCTATTAGACAATGTCAGCCAATATGGTTCTTTTTTATGTTACTATAGTAAGTTCTTGAGCAAGGCAGAGATATAATGAGAGCAGTAATGTGATGTGCCTGGCAGTAGTGTGCAGAATTTCCGGAAGGCACTCTACATTTAAATTAAACATGCAGAGGGGACCATGCTTGACACTTGCACATGGCATATTTGAGTGCTTAAGGAATGGAGGAATAGGCCCCTAAGACCTATTGAAATAGTTGGTATATGATTTATATGAGTCCAAGAGAGCCGAAAGAAAAAATAATTATCAAAAAAGCCATTCTGCAGGAAGAATTATTAGTCTTTGCTGATTCAATACATTTGGGAGTGAGGAAGAGGGAGATATCAAAGTGGAACACGGGGATTTGGTAACTGAAGAAAAAGTGTGGTATGATTAATGGAAATGGAGACTTTCTGAAGGAAAGGGGATAAGATGGGGGTAGAGTAGAGAGATGAGTGGGGGAGGGAATAATCAATTCTGTTTTGTATATACTGAATTTCAAGTGACAATGAAGGGCCCAAAGGGGAATGCTCTAGAGGCAGCTGGAAACGGGTGATTAGAGGGCTCGATATATATGGAGTCAGCAAAATCCATGGACCCCCAACCACAGTTTACCAAATGACACAAATGCAGTAGAGTTGGACGCTCCATTGATTCTGCACTTCCAGCCACAGCAAAGCATTGCAGAACAAGGACCAACCAGTATGCTAAATCTGGACTTCCTTTCTCTGGTGATAGTCATTTAATATTAATTTTGTTTTGATTTTCCCATCTTAATATTGAGAACAATTCATGATGGAGGAAAAAAGTAAGCATCTCTGGCACTTACCTATTAGAAACTGACTAAAATGATATGTTTTTTGTTCAATCTTAAGGTATTAACTCCCCAAATACAACTGTCAGGGATTCTGCCTCAAAATATGGTTGTGTGTCTCCTATAATCCAAATCAAAGGAACAAAAACCTCAGTAAGCACTCCCTAGAATAGTCAATGTCATTGTTAGGTGATGACTGACTGTAGTTTCTTGCCTCTAGGAATTAACACTTAGTCCAGTAAGTCCATAAATTAGATTCCTGGAAGTTAGGATTTACTTCATCTGATAATTAAATTATTTGTCTTCCCTAAAACAATTCTGATATTGGATAAAGCCTTTATGTTATAGATGTGACATAATAAAATTTGATTATTCTTGCTTTGCTGTAACTGACTTGATTAATCTATTTTATTCTCTTTCTTATGTATCAGAGCATCGATGACCTGTTTGCAATCTTCTCTGACATGTGAGGGGTTTATATTTGCTGAAGAGGTGATTTTGAATTGCCTAGAATTGTGAATGATTTTTAAACTCTCAATCAGCTGGTTTCCAGTTACCTTCAAGAGCTCCCCAGTCTATATCCTGGTTCTCTGGTTTGTGCAGGGCAGGATATCTGTTGAAGAGGTTGGCAATGAAAGCCAAGTTCAACTTGGGGTTCCCTCGGACAACATCCGTGGCTGTGACAAACTGCCGGCAGCCCAGCCTGTCTGCCTGCTGCAACATGCATTCCGCCCTCTGGATGTCGTCCTTCTCCTGCAATGGAACAGGACAGGTCAGCTGGCAAGGCGCTCCATGCACAGGGCAGATGCGGGTGACAGAAAACAATGGAAATCTCACTGAAAGAGACCCTTGGTGCTTACCCTCAAATACACTTCATAACAGCGTATTATTACTTATATCCTCCTGAACCAAAATCAGAAAATTACAAATAAGAGGGATCTCGGAAGTTAAGTAATCGAGTCCTCTCATCTCTATAAAGGACCATTTCAGATGAGGCTGGCTGTCCTGCTTTAAAAAATATTCAGTAGAATCTATAGTTTATTAAGTGAATCTCAATTATTTTCCACCATTAAACTTACTTTTTATTATTTCTTACACAGGCCATGAAATTTTGTCTACCAAAAATGTTCATTTATTAAGTAATACATTATATTCCTATTTTAGTTCATCAAAGATACATCTGCCATTAAGATATCTGACAACCACATTTCTCACACTGAGTTGATATACATGCAACTTAAACAACATAAACATGATGAGTTATTTAAACTACGTATTGCCATTAATAAATCTATAATACCAATTTGGCTTTTGCAGACTTCAGATTGAGAACCACTCACTGAACATATTAAAAGTCTATTAAATAGTTCTAGTGAATCTCCTGTCATTTGTAAGCAGACTCTTATTAGAAAACTCTTGTTCAATTATGGTCTACCATCCTTAAAGCACTAAGAGCATATGAAAAAACCACTTTTCAGGTAACAAAACTTTAGTCTGAAATTATTTCTTAATATGATGCTTTACTAGATAACACTATATACATTATACATTTCATGAGTTTTATTTCTCATTCAGGAATGAGTTGACTTTAATGTTAACTCATTGGATTGAACTCTAATAATATTGATATGCAAAAATAGGTAAGGCATTTTCTCAAGATCAATATTGAAATGGTGGCAAAACTGAAGTTGTTTTTTTTTTTGGTACATGCCCCTAGCTGGAACCGAACCCAGGACTCTCTGGTCTGCAGGCCAATGCTCCAACGTCTGAGCCAAACCGGTCAGGGAGCAAAACTGAAGTTTTAACATTCAGACCCATGTTGTCCTCACTATTTTAAAGAACTCTCAAACCAGACACTTCTAAGAATCTCCACCATGCTGCGCAGTCCTTTCCTGCCATTACCCTAATGATGTCATGAGGCAGGGCTGTGGCTGGGTGAATTTTGGAGCTGTCCTGGGTTTACATTCTTGCTGTACTAGGCACTGGGCTCTGTAGCCATGAGATGATTATTAGCTTCTCTGACCTTCAGTTTTCTCAACTCTAACACAGTTTAACACTTACCTCAGTGATGTTTGTAAGGATTAAACGCTGTGTATGCAACATACCTGCTGTAGTACCTGGCACATTGGAGGAACTCAGCAAGTAGGGATTCCTTTTTTTATTATTGCTATAGGAAGAGCCCCGGCTTTGGATCAAAGAACTTACAATAATCTATCATATGATCTTGGACATAATAACTAACCCTTCTGAGTCTCAGTTTTTTTCATCACTACTAAGTAAAAAATTTATTTATTTGTATAAATATTTCATCTATTTCCAGAAATTACACTCAGGTATCTAAAAGTGGAAATAATAATACTTCTAGAAGCTGTACAGCCTATTGACTGATGGGAGATGTGCAGAAGTGCCTCCCATGGGCTAAGGCATGTATCTAGTACTAGTTTCTTTCTTTCTTGAATGTTTATCTCCAGATTTAATTTCCCACAATTATTACCCTAAAATTGTTAACAGATTTTTTTTTTTTTTATCCTCACTCGAGGACACTTTTCCATTTTTTGTACAGATAGAGTGGGAGGGAGAGGAAGAGAGAGAGAGAGAAACATCAACGTGAAAGGGACACATCGAGTGGCTGCCACCCGCACGACCAACCAGGGCCGGGGACAAACTGCAACCGAGGTACATGCCCTTAGCGGGAACCGAACCCGGGTCTCTCCGGACCGCAGGCTGATGCTCTAACCGCTGAGCCACACCGGCCAGGGCTGTTAACAGATTTTTATAGTTTTGTTTTGTTTTTAATCCTCACCCGAGGATACTTTTCTACTGATTTTTAGATAGAGTGGGAGGAAGGGTGGGTAGGAGAGAGAGAGAGAGATATCAATGTGAGAGAGACACATCAACTGGTTCCCTCCCGCAAGACCCCAACCAGGGCTGGGGATCGAACTATAACCGAGGTATGTGCCCTTGACTGGAATCGAACCTATAACTCTTTGGTCAGCAGGCCAACACTCTAACTGCTGAGCCAAATTGGCCAGGGCCAGATTTTTATAGTTTTAACAGGGCTTTAAACAGAGATGTCTCCTCATGGAACCTGAGTCAGGGTCACACAGGTCAATGGGACTGCCAATGCAAAGGCAACACTGTGTCCTCTAAACACAGCTTGGAACATGGCCTCACCCTTAGTCCTGACATGTCAATCACAACTGCAGGAATGCCTTCTTCATCTCCTTTTGGGGCCACCTGTTCCAGCAGGTGGTAATAAGCTTTTGAGTCCTGTGAGAAATGAAGAAATTACAATGTCAAATTACATACTTAGCACAATAATTTCCCCAAAGTAAATATTTTTCATTTATTATTCGACTATCATTCAAGAATGCAATTTAATTAATAAAGCAGGAAACATTCACTAGTTTGAATTTTCTATGTGCCTGTTTACATACTATATTTGCCTTTCTTTTTATAATGAGTGTAACATTAAAAATGCAGGACATACACAAAGGGCAACCCAAAGGTGCAAATACTATTCTTTCTTTCTTAGGGAATAAAAGTGATTTATTAACATGTAGTAAATTGTATACAGAAATATACATACTCTTATATCACTGCAGAAGTCAGTTAGCTAAAGTTTAATTTTTAAAAAGTGACAGAAAAAGGAAGCAGCAATTTAAAGCAGAGTTTAAAAATGCATTTAGACAGACGTCAGCTAAAAAAAAATCTTTTAAACAAGCAGTTTTTATGAAAAGGAGAGATATTTAGATGACAAGTTCATTTAATGTTTATCTAGAAGCTAGAAAAGTGGTTAAGCTTAGCTATAGCAGATTACATATAGATACTGAATTCTCATGTCTTCTTAGATTCAGGAAATATACTTATTGACAAAAAGAATGATCAGAATTGTAGTTTTAAAATCATTTCATGAAAGCATGCAGATGTTCAGGTAATTTATCTAAACCATTTAAAGAGATTTTCATTTCTGTTAAAGACAGAAAAATTAGCTGTTGTTATGTTTTTTGTTTTTAAACTGGGTAGGGCCTGGGGAGAGCAGAGGTATGCTCACCACCTGTGACATTAGAAATATGAGAACAAGAGAATACCAGTCATTGATGTTGCACCTGTGGAAACTGAGTTTCATTTTTTTTCTTTCTACCTTCCCCTCCTCTAAATTTTCACTGTAGCTATTTTGAAGCCAGTGAAAGTTCCATGCAGGCGTTGGGCATGAATAAAATCTGTCTACCATATGTTACATCTATTTAGCCTTGTTAAGAATTACCTCATTGCATCTGATCCTAAGAAACCTTTTTTACTCTACTGGAAACATTCTCCCCACCTTTGCTGACTTGCTGTGATTTAAGGGCATCTCCAAGTTGCCTGTGGCTCATACATACACGGCACAGCGCTGACCTTGTTTGGGATGCGGCGGCTCCCTGAGAACAGGCTCAACCACCAAGTAAGTGCTCAGTTTGCCAGTTCCCACCTCATATAGATACTTCCCAAGTCCAGGTAAACTTATGGTTAGACTAAACAGCCTAATTCTGGCTGAAAACTTGAAAACTTTGGCTGAAACAACTGCAGAGCTTAGTCGTAGGGCACAAAGTAGACAATGCTTTGCAGTTTCTGTTAAATCCCATTCAACTGGTGGTGCTAGGAGACTGTTCATAATCAATGAAAGTGGTGTAGTTAAAAAAAAAAGAGCCCTGGCCAGTTTGGCTCAGCGGTTAGAGTGTCGGCCTGCGGTCCGGAGAGACCCGGGTTCGGTTCCCGCTAAGGGCATGTTCTTCGGTTGCAGTTTGTCCCCGGCCCTGGTTGGTCATGCGGGTGGCAGCCACTTGATGTGTCCCTTCACATCGATGTTTCTCACTCTCTCTTCCTTCCTCTCTCTCCCCCCCACTCTATCTGTACAAAAAATGGAAAAATATCCTCGGGTGAGGATAAAAAAAAAAAAGAATTTGGCATTATTATCTTACGTCCTAAGGAATGGGGAGCTTTACATTACAGAAGCTTCTGTGTAACTGGCACCATGCCTGACAGACCCTGAGTTCTAAAAGCCAGGAGTACACAGTGGAAGAAAGCTGTTTCTCAAAGAATTATCAGCCTGGGTTGGCTCCTTGTGAGTAATGTGACCTTTCCTCTGGCTCCCTTTGGAGAAACTTTCTTTAAGTTTTGAGAGAGGGGAGACTGAAGTGTTTTTTGTATGCTGCATCCCGCATCTCGCACCACTTGCTCCTGGGGACTGCCTTCTGGGGTTGGTGATTGCTTCCTGTGCTCTTCTGTCGTGGCCCACCTGCCATCAATATCAGCAGCTTTCCCTTCATCCTGACATGAAACTTCACACCAACTGAAAGCCAAGTGCATGCTTTCCTCAGCCTCGGCCCTTTGAGATCTCTGTTGCAGGATCCATTGCCTCTTCTGCACACTCTGGGGTAAATTCTCATTGCAGACCATTTCCAGAATCATTATCTTTTAAAAATCACTCTGCTTTGTACAAAAAAACCTTTCAAGAAATTCACAACTTGTTTTCTTAGAGAGGCAGGAAAGTAAGCAGTCAAGTGCATGAAGCATGGAGGCCAGCCGCTGCATTTAAATCCTGACCCTATCCCCAGCTATGTGAACTTGAACAAGTCACTTAACTTCTCTTTATCTCTGTTTCCTTATCTGTAAAATGAGAAAATAATAATTCTTGTCTCAAAGGTTTGTTGTGAGGATTGAGTCAATAAATGTATAAAGCAGAACAGTGCCTGCCATGCAGTCTACACTATGGGTGCTGGTACCAGTGCATTAGAAGAGACCTCGTTTAATTTTGTTTTAGAGGAATTCCGATCCGATAGTCTCAGTAATAAAATCAAGAAGACATTGCAGCCCTACACATACTTGACAAGCAGTCTTATCTCTTGCCCTTCTTCTAACTCATCCTCGTTGCTCTACTTCCTGGTGCTATACTGCAAGGAAGACCGGCTCCTTCTGTTGCTGTGCAGTCGCCAGACCGGGACAGACCTCAGCCGCCCAGCACTCAGAGGGAACAGCGAGCACGCGCCTCTCTAGAACCAATCCGAGTCCATGGAGCCAGGCTCATTGCCTTGGTCTTCTCTCCACTGATGCCCCAATTCCCCTCACTGCTGCAGTTAGCCGTGTTCGAACACACGCCTCCTACCTTGATGTCAGTACTGAAGTTGCCGATTTTGCCGCAGCCTGCGTTTTCCAGGTGGTAATTAGCCCATCTCAGCAGGAGCTCCTCAGGGGAGAGTTTCATCAAGTCCTCCAGACTCTCTCCTTCTCTCAGAAGAGCAACCAGAACTGAGGAAGCACAAAAGCAGAAGTAAAATGAATACAGGGAATATTGGGGAGGATTGGCTATAACTTTCAGTGTGCTCTGCTGGAAAGCCAAAGATAGTGATGTTATCTCTGTGGGGTAAAGGTATTTACAGTTTTCCCTATGGGTAAACACTATTGTTATTTGCTAAAACTAGGTATAGGGTGCTGTGAGTTTATTTATTATCCCTATTTTTCAGATGGGAAACAAAAGGCACCAATGAATCTCAATGCTATGCCTAAGAATGAGTTGGCAGAACCAATAAGACTGTTGGCTCGGAACGCTCCACTGGGTCTGTCAGATCACGTTCCATGAGATGACAACATTTTTGCTTTTAAGAGATCAATTGAAAAATGTTTTTATTGATATTTTAGTGTGAGGGGAAAGAAGAGGGAGAGAGAGAAAGGGAAGCATCAACACCAACCAGCTGCCTCCTGCACGCTCCCTACTGGGGATCCCGTTGAAACCTGGGCATGTGCCCTGACCAGGAATTCAACCGGGACCTCTCAGTCCATGGGACGATGCTCAAGCACTGAGCCACACTGGCCGAGCTAAGAGATCAATTTTGTAATAATAACTATGTTCCATTTTCTGTCCCCATATGTGTTTTATATTTCAAATGCTTACCTGAGTAATTATAGCAGCTGAAAAAGTATAATCAACTCTTTCCTCTATATTTCCCAGATGAATAAATATTTCTTGCTCAGTTAAAAGGTTTAAATTTAGATTTAAATTTAATGAGGTCATTATTTGAAAATCTATAGTCTTTCTTGTCGGTTCTGAGTTCTCTCTTTGTTTCTTCTTCTTCTTTATATTATGCTTAATCTATTGGTTTTATATTACCCCAGGATTCTTCACTGATTATTGTGATTTGGACCTTAAAAGTATATAATAACATTTATATATAAAGTACAACGATTCGAATTTGGCTATAAATTTCATATTGATAGGATCTGTACCTGAAAATTAAAAAGTAACACTGTACTTTATATGATACTTATCAAGACTGTTACTTCAATCTAAAGGACAGGGATGTAATTGCTTAAATGCAGATAGGATGCTCAGAGCAAATAGAAAAATATTCACAGCTACGTATTTAGTAAAGAACTTGGAAACGCTAAATGTAATTTTCTATCATCTTGGCAAGAACTACACCAAGTTTCTCCTAATCTGTTGCAGTCATTGAAGTATATGAATGTGAATTGTTTCAAAAAATACCAGCTAAAAGTAGACTTATTTATTATTAAATGTCTAAAGGCAAAATTAACTCAGAAAAGCTCTCGAGGTTGGAGTTGCAGATAGCTAGACCGAGCTATCGGTGCTAAAAATGCATTATTATTCATCTGTAGTCTTAAAAAGCTTTCATTCCATAATTTAAAAAAATCTGGTCTGTGTGGATAAAATGAATATAGTTATATTAAGTTCATTAAATCCATTGTATTCAATGAACTTAATATAACTATAGTTTTCAAAAATTAAAGATTCTGAGGTTGACTATTCCTGACATCACCTGCTACAGTCCCCAACACATGCAGTAATAAACAGCCACGTCATTAATACCATTTGAAGTTTGCTTGTACCTTCATTTCTGCTGAGTTCGATGTCAGCAAACAACCCAATCTTGATGATTTGCCACAAAAGTCCCAGGACCAGGTAAGGCTTCCCCTCCTTTAAGTCCTCAGCCCCAATGTTCACCACATGGCACCCGATGGCTGAGGCAGAGTTCAGAGCCAGGTTCAAATTCTCCTGAGGGAGAAAAATTATGCAAGTTTTGTTTTTGACTGCAAATGCAAATGATGATTACTGATTGGCAGCAATGATAATATTTTGCTTTTGGAAGTTAACAGGTCTAGAAGTGCTAGATTTTGACATTGAGAAAAAGCAGTAAATAATAACTGGAAAAGAAAATCCAGTAACCCAGACACAGGGCTGATGCAGTGTCTAGTCAATCAAAGCAGAACTCTGAGGTGGAGGCCCATTCTGGTCAGAATGAAACAAAGGAATAATATATTTTTCTGTTTTGCTATGTGATGGAGCTTTCACATTCAACCTCTCCATCAGCCAGAAAAAAGGGGGCACCTTTGAGGGGAGGACATACCCTCATTACCTTATCAGAGTCTATCATTAATAACACAATGGTTGATTATGAAGGTCGAAAAAGCAGAAAATAGCTTTTGGACTTTCAGATTAAAGGAATAAAAAGGTACAAATCAGATTCGTAGAAAAGATAAGAGTGGTTCTTACTAGGATAATGTGTTGAGTATCTGTAATATCTAGGGACCTTGAGTATGCACACACACCTACACAAATACACACCCATGTGTTCATATACACATTCACATGTATGTTCTTATAATTAACAACAACGTATAATGTCACTCATATATGGTTGGAATACAGTCAGTGAAACTTAGTCTAGAATCTGTATACTATACTTGGGTCCAAAAAGGAGGATTTATGAGGCAGAAATGTATAGAAGTTGGTTTCATGACAAATTAGCAAAACAAAAACACTGGCTACCAGTGACTTAGGAAAATAACTATGAGAAGAAAAGTGTTTTTTTTTTTTTTTATCCTAGAGTATAATTCAAATTATGAGTAAAAAATATATGAGTTCTCCTTATAACCAAGAGTATGAGTAAATTTTTTAAAACTTATCTTTATTGTTGAATGTATTACAGATATTCCTCCTTTTCCCCCCATTAACCCCCTCCTCCCCACTTCCACCCCCCTCCTGCCTTTCCCCACACTGTTTTCTTGTCCATTGGTTATGCATATAAGTTCTTTGGTTTATTTCCCCCCCCATCCCCTTCCCTTTGAGGTTTGTCAGTCTAACAACCAATTTGTACTTCTTAATCCCTTCACCTTTTTCACCCATTTCCCCACCCCCCTCCCATCTGGCAACCAACAAAATGTTCTCTGTAGCTATGAGAATGTTTCTGTTCTGCTTGTTCATTTTGTTTGTAGATTCAATTGTTGATAGATATGTATTCATTGCCATTTATTTGTCACAAGATTTCATATAATAATAGTTTGGTGGTGATGAACTCCTTTAGCTTTTTCTTGTCTGGGAAACTCTTTATATGGCCATTGATTCTAAATGACAGCTTTGCAGGATAGAGTAATTTTGGTTGCAGGTTCTTGCTTTTCATCACTCTGAATATTTCTTGCCACTCCCTTCTGGCCTGCAAAGTTTCTTTTGAGAAATCAGCTGACAGTCTTATGAGGGCTCCCTTGTAAGTAACTACTGCTTTTCTCTTGCTGCTTTTAAGACTCTCTCTTTATCTTGAACCTTTTGCATTTTGATGATGATGTGTCTTGGTGTGGGCCTCTTGGGGTTCATCTTGTTTGGGACTCTCTGTGCTTCCTGGACTTGTATGTCTGTTTCCTTCACCAAGTTGGGGAATTTTTCTGTCATTATTGTTTCAAATAGGTTTTCAATTTCTTGTTCTCTCTCTTCTCCTGGCACCCCCAAGATGCGAATATTGATACGTTTGAAGTTGTCCCAGAGGCTCCTTACACTATCCTCCTTTTTTTGCATTCTTTTTTCTTTTTGCAGTTCTGATTGGGTGTTTTTTGCTTCCTTATATTTCAAATCGATGGTTTGCTTCTTGGCTTTACCTACTCTACTATTGAATCTGTGTAAATTATTCTTTATTTTAGTTAGTGCCTTCATTTCTGCCTGTGCATCCTACATTTCTGACTGGTCCTTTTTTATGCTCTTGAGGCCCTCACTAAGTTCACTGAAGTTCTCACTAAGTTCATTGAGCATCCTCATAAGCAATGTTTTGAACTCTGCATCGGTTAGGTTGCTTATCTCCATTTTGCTTAGTTCTTTTCCTGGAGTTTTGTTCTGTTTTTTCATTTGGGATTGTTTCTTTGTCTCCTCATTTTGGCTGCCTCCCTGTGTTTGTTTCTATGTATTAGGTAGCGTTGCTATGTCTCCTGCACTTCCTAGGGTGGCTTGTTATAGTAGGTGTCCTGTAGGGCCCAGTGGCACAGCCTCCCTGATCTCCCAGCTGGGCCGTCAAGGTGCACCCCTAGTGTGATCTGTATACCCTTCTGTTGTAATTGAGTCTTGATTGCTGTTGGCACATCAATGAGAGGGTTTTACCCACCGACCTCTGACTACTTTGGATGATCAGCTGTGCAGGGGCCCAACACACAGAGCAAGACTTACTTCAGCAGGGCTCTGGTACCCACTGAGTCCATTCCTTGAGTGTGTCACTTGTGGAGGTGGTTGGGTGGTGGTGCTTCACAGTGTTCTGAAGCTGTCCACTGGGTATGCTGGTTCTGGGGCGAGGTCAGCCACTGCCTGTGTTCTACCCGGGGCCACCAGGCATAAGCTACAAAGTGATCTGTGTGCTGGCATATTTATAACCCAATAATTGATGATTGGTAAATTATTGTGCTGCCCCATAACTGATGACTGGAAAAGTCACTGTGTGCCCTCTAGCTGAACCTGTTTAGTTAAATTAACCTCAGTAAATTGGAATACTCCCTGAACCAAGAAATTGTTGGGAGCTGGCTACACATCTGACAGAGTCCACAGAGCTTGGAGGTCTTGAGTCAGAGACTCGGCCTTTCCCACAATCTTAAGGAATTAGGCTTGCATTGTGTTTGTGCAGCTCGGGGCTAAGTGTGACCCAAAGTACCTTGAAATATCTGAAATACCTGGGTGTGCCTAGGTGCGCTTGGGTATGTGTGAGTGTGCTTGGGTGTTCCTGTTATCCGTAAGGCAAACTAATTCTATACTGTTTTGCTGTGGCCCTGGGCATTATATCAAGAAGATTCTATTTTTTGTGAGGTATAAAAGGTGTGTAATAAAGCACATCGGGGCTGATTCTGAAGACTCTGTCACAGGAGTGTTCGGAATCAGATGCTGGCCAGCTAATAAACGGCTCTTAGTTGGACTTCAATTCTCTAGTTGTCTTTCTTTGACTCTGTCATGCCACAACATTTCGAGGTCCCAGGGCTGGTCTCTGAGAACTCAGGATCAGTCGCTGGCCAGTTTTGCTCTTTATTTGGCTTTAATTTGGCTCTGGTGGTCTCTCAGTTCTCTCATGCCACAACAATCTGCAGATGGCTGCTTCTTGTGCTGGCTTGGAGGTGCCAGGAAAAACCAAGCTGTGAACGAAGGCCGGCTGCTTCTAGTGCCAGGCCTGGGGCCACTTAATGAGAGGTATGGGCTAGTTGAGAGCAGATGCTGCTTGTTTTGAAAGAATTTAAGAAAACCTAAAGCAGTATCCAAGATAGGCCAATCTTATGGTAAAGCAATTGGCAATAGTTTGGGTGGGCCTGAAAGTTGGGTGGGGCGGGGCCTCAGGGAATCACCAGGGCAGGGCAATCAGTGTGAGCCAGGTTGTGGGAGTCCCAGATATGGCGGCTGTCTGCCACCCCAGGGAAGGGCTCACCAAAGGAACATCAGCCTCCACCAGCATGTTTGTCCAGGAGAAAGCTGCCTCTCTAGCCCTGGTCCCAATGCCAAACAGCTCAGTTCTTCCCCATATATCTCTGGTGCCTTTTGAGCTGCCTCCCCCACACTGGAGCCTGGAGAGTGCGAGTCCGAGTAAGTCCATGCACGGGCCCTTTAAGAAGAGCTGCCTGGGGCTCCCACAGCCTCAGCCTCAGTTTCTACTGGTTTTATAGCCAGAAGTGATGAGGACTTCTCTCCTGGCACTGGAACCCCTGAGCTGGTTGCCTGGTGTGGGACAGGAACCCCTCAGTCCTCAGGGAGGACCTTCCCAGCCGAGGTGTCCTCCTGATTTTTATCCGCCACATGTGGGTGTGGGACCAGCCCGTCTGCCTCTGCCCTTCCTACCAGGCTCCATGTGGCTGCTGCTTTAATTCCGTAGCTGTAGGACTTCCATTCGGCTCAATGTCAGGAGGTTCTGAAGGATGGTTGTTCTGTAGTTTAGTTGTAACTTTGATGTGGTTGTGGAAGGATGCGATACCGCATTTACTTATGCTGCCATCTTGACCCTTTTTCCTTATACTTAATTGTTTTTACAGATGTCCCTCCTTTTCCCCCCATTGACCCCCTTCCTCCGCCACCCCACTTCACCGTACTGGTGTCTGTGTCCATTGGTTATGCATATATGCATTGTAAGTTCTTTGGTTTATCTCTTTCTGACTTCCCACCTTTCTTCCCTCTGAGGTTTGTCAGTCTGTTCCCTACTTCTATGTCTCTGGATCTATTTTGTTCATTATATTCCACAAATAAGTGAGATCATGTGGTATTTGTCTTTCTCTGACTGACTTTTTTCATTCAGCATAATACTCTCCAGGTCCCTCCATGTCACCTCAAAGGGTAAAAGATCATTCTTTCTTACAGCTGCATAGTATTCCATTGTGTAAATGTACCAAAGCTTTTTTATCCATTCATCTACTGATGGACACTTGGGCTGTTTTCAGATCTTAGCTATTGTAAATAGTGCTGCTATGAACATAGGGGTACATATATTCTTTCTGACTGGTGTTTCAGGCTTCTTAGGATATATTCCTAGAAGTGGAATTACTGGGTCAAATGACAGTTCAATTTTTAATTTTTTGAGGAAACATTGGATAAGGGGTTAATTTCCAAAATACATAGAGTATTCATACAACTCAACAAAAGGATAATAAACAATCCAATTTAAAAATGGACAGAGGACCTGAATAGACACTTCTCCAAACAGGACATACAAATGGCCAAGAGACATATGAAAAAATGCTCAACGTCACTAATCATCAGAGAGATGCAAATTAAAATGACTATGAGGTATCACCTGCCACAATGATTGAGTAAATTTAACATAAAATTTCTTCATATAGGTTTAACCATCATTGCTCTCTTTGGTTAACAATTCTATTTAAAAGTACACAGGGTTGATTAAATCCAAACAGGATGTAATATATTGTTCATGATTGAAGAAATGAGACATAACATCTAAGCAAGAGAATTACAGTAATGTTAAAATACTGTAACATAGCATGGAGATACAGCTTACTACCGGTGATTGTTCTAGTTAATCAACACCCCGAGGGCATAAAAACAGGTGCTATTTATCACTCTGGTGGCTGCCATAAAGAGCACCGTGAAGGCTGTAGGAGCATGTCCCGGTTTTACCCCTCACTTAGAAAGTCTTTTCTTTTCAGCTAAAATGCTGTGTATTTGACATCACCTCAAAGATAAAGTGCTAGGGAAAGTTTGAGTCAAAACTTCACTGATGTGAGTTTTACTTGTAAGTGGCCAAAACAAAGAATTCCCCAACTACCCACACCCGCTAACCTCCTATCTCCAATGCCCCTTACCCTGCCCCTGTTATATTAGTAAAAGCATAAACAGAAATGTGTCTCTCTAGCCCCACCAGTCATGATAATCACCAGTCCATATTCTGGGAATTGGGAATAAGGTCTGAGCCCTGAACAAGTCTGACTCAGCAGGTTTGGTGCACATTCACTCCAAGCACAATCCTCTTTGAAAGGAACAGAGGGAAGACATACCTGAATGGTGAAAGGAGTGAGTTTCTTTTTGTTAATTGTTCTTTCATCAATTGTGTCAGGCACTGAGAGGTTGATCATTTTACTAAAAGAGAAACAAGTAAGGAAAGCAGGTTTCTACATAACAGGGCCCAGGTATATTCTAGCAAAATCATAAACAAGATGGCAGTATTACCTGTGCTACCCAGTGCTTAAATATAAAATCAGTTATGCAATTTTGATGAGATTCAAACTCTCTGTGGGAAAGGTTAATATTCCTAAACTCATACCAATATATTGAGCCAGGAAATAAGGACCTCAATTCATTCACTTACCTTAAAAACTACAAAATTATCTTGGTTTCTTTAGCATGTTAGGAAATTCTAGGTGCATAGCCAAAGCAAACCCCCTATGTGTGCTTTACTTTCTCAGCCATAAAAATCATTCCACTATATAAATGATTATTATACACTTTTGAGCTTATATGATATCTAAATTTCTGATACCTGGCCAAACTATATTCCTTTAATCAATCAGATGATAAAATGTTTCATATCTTCATGTAGTCATCACTGTATCAGTACTTAGAAAATTTCACCCACTCAAGTATCTAATACATTGATCAGACATCCAAAGCAAGCAGATATTGCTTATGAAAAACTGATTTTACCCGAGTTAGCATTGATTTAACCTTCAATTGCTCCTAAAAAAATAAACTTCCTATCTTATTTTTAAAAAGAAATTTAGAAAAAATATACTAAGAATAACAAAATCAAAGAATATTAAACTTGACTATGACTATATCTTTTTTAATGAAATGAGATATTAGCGTTAACATTTTTTTCTTAACAATTTTTAAGCAACTATCTTTTTTTGGTGGTTGTTTAAAGGTGTATTTTTATAACTTTATCATGTGTATATACATATTTTAAAAAAAGGCATTTTACTACAATGTAGGCAAAACAAACTGCTAAATCATAATTTGAAAAATATGAAACTGGAATAAACTAGAAGCTCTTAGAGATGGTGCTACAGAGATGTGACTGAAAGAGTGTGAGATATCCCCGATACTGAAAAGCTTACAGTCCAATTACATAGACAAAATATCTGGATGTCAAAAGTTATGTAACAGTCCAAAGCAGGACACTATAATGGCTTCCAAATTATTACAAACAATATGTGCTTTAAGAATTCAGTTAAGGGAGAAATCACTGGAGATTGGGATAGACCAATTAGCTCTTGAAATTAGTTTTCTCTCCTGGATCTGCTAAACAAAAGTCCCAAAAAACCATTTCAGGTCCAGCTGATCACCAAAGGAATTTGACCTAGGATAAACACAAGTAATTGTTGGTATTCCAGAAAAGTCTAGGGAAACCTTTGGGAACCAAAAAGGAAGTGCTATTTACCAAAGGACGATGCCATCCCCGACAGCACTGAAGAGATCATTTGTGTTTGGATTCATCGGGATGACATGCCGACAATCAGGGTCATTTTCTAGAGCTTTGTTTATCCAGTTAACAAAGGCATACTTCTCTTCCTCTGCAAGTAAATGATTAAAATAATTTATTTGCAAAGTGAAAATCTAATGTAAATAAAATGAGACACGTGGATCTTAGATTCTTATGCCCAGGAGAGACATTGCGAGCTTATCTCATCCATTATCCAATCATCGCACATTTATTGACATTTTTTCTTTAAATATTTTTTAAACATCAACCAAAAAATTTATTATATATAAATTTAGTAATATTGTCATCCTGATTTTTAAAAAAATAAAAAACAAGTTATATTTGTCATCACTTTTTTTCTCATTTCTTACCTATAAACTGGCAAAGATATTTATATTTTATTTATTTTTTTTATTTTAATAATTAATTTATTTATTTTTGTTACAGATGTTTCTCCCTTTCCCCCCACTTATACACCCCTCCTCCTCCCTCCCTGCCCTGTCCCCAGCTATGTTGTCCATGTCCATTGTTCATGCATACATGTATATATAAGTTCTGAGGTTTATCACTCCCCCACCACCCCCTCTTCTGGGGATTGTCAATCTGTACCCCACAGCCACATCTCTGGGACTACTCCATTCCTCAGACTGTTCAATATATTCCACAAATAAGTGAGATCATATTATACTTGTCTTCCTCTGTTTGGCTTGTTTCGCTTAGGATAATACTTTCCAGGTCCCTCCATGTCGTCTCAAAGGATAAGAGATCTTTCTTTCTTACCGCTGCATAGTACTCCATTGTGTATATGTACCACAGCTTTTTTATCCATTCGTCTACTGATGGACAGTTGGGCTGTTTCCAGATCTTAGCTATTGTAAATAGTGCTGCTACAAACATGGGGGTACATATATTCTTTCTGATTGGTGTTTCAGGCTTCTTAGGGTATATTCCTGGAAGTGGGATCACTGGGTCAAACGGCAGTTTAATTTTTAATTTTGAGGTAACACCATATTGTTTTCCATAGTGGCTGCACCAGTCTGCATTCCCACCAGCAGTGTACTAGAGTCCCCTTTTCTCCACACCGTCGTCAACACTTGTTTGATGATTTGTTGATGGCGGTCATTCTGACAGGTGTGAGGAGATAACTCATTATTGTTTTAATTTGCATCTCTCTGATGATTAGTGATGTTGAGCATTTCTTCATATGTCTGTTGGCCAATTGTAAGTCCTGTTTGGAGAGGTGTCTATCTAGTTCCTCAGCCCATTTTTTAATTAAGTTATTTGTCTTCCTTTGGTTGAGCTGTATGAGCACTCTATGTGGATTGGAAATTAACCCCTTATCTGATGTATCATTGGCAATTACGCTCTCCCATACAGTGGGTTGCCTTTCCATTTTGGTTACTGTTTCTTTTGCTGTGCAGAAGCTTTTAGTTTGATATAGTCCCATGTATTCATTTTCTCCTTTGTTTCTGTTGCCTTAGGTGATGTATCAGTGAAAATTCTGCTGCGTATGATATCTGAAATTTTGTTGCCTACATTTTCTTCCAGGATTTTTATGGATTCATGAGTCACATTTAAGACTTTTATCCACGTTGAGTTTGATTCTTGTGTATGATATAAGTTGATGGTATAGTTTCATTTTTTTGCATGTAGCTGTCCAATTTTCCCAACACCATTTATTTAAGAGGCTGCTTTTACTCCACTGTATGCTCTTGCCCTCTTTGTCAAATATTAATTGAGCATATTGTCTTGGGTCCATTTGTGGGTTCTCTGTTCTGTTCCATTGATCTATCTGCCTGTTTTTGTGCCAGTACCAGGCAGTTTTGATTACAATGGCTTTGTAGTATAACCTGAAATCTGGTAATGTAATCCCTCCAGCTTTGTTCTTTTTTTTCAAGATTGCTGTGGCTATTCAGTGTCTTTTTTCATTCCATATGAACTTTTGAAGTATTTGTTCTAATTCTGTGAAGTATGTCTTTGGTATTTTGATGGGGATTGCATTGAATCTATAGATTTCTTTGGGTAGTATGGACATTTCAATGATGTTAATTCTTCCAATCCATGATCAAGGTATGTGCTTCCACTTTTTTATACCTGCCTCTATTTCTTTGTTCAATGACGTGTAGTTTTCTGTGAATAGGTCCTTTATTTCATTGATTAAGATCATTCCTAGATATCTTAATTTTTTGTCGCAATGGTAAATGGAATTTTTTTTTTTAGTTTCTCTTTTTGTGAGTTCATCACTGGAATATAAGAATGCCATTAACTTCTTGCCATTAATTTTGTATCATGCTACTTTGCCAAATTCATTTATTAAGTCTAGTAAATTTTTGATGGAGTTTGGGGTTTTCTATGTATAGTATCATGTCATCTGCAAATAATGACAGTTTAACTTGTTCCTTTCCAATTTGGATCTTTTTTACTTTTTCTTCCTATCTGGTTGCTGTGGCTGACACTTCCAGTACTATGTTAAATAGGAGCGGTGAAAGTGGGCATTCTTATCTTGTTCCTGTTCGTAAGGGAAATGCTTTTAATTTTTGCCCATTGAGTATGATGTTGGCTGTAGGTCTTTCATATATGGCATTTATTATGTTGAGATATGATCCCTCTATTCCCACATTGATGAGTGTTTTTATCAGAAATGGGTGCTGGATATTGTCGAATGCTTTTTCAGTATCTATTGATATAATCATATAATTTTTATCTTTCATTTTGTTTATGTGGTATATCACAGCTATTGATTTGCAAATATTGTATCAGCCTTGCATCCCTGGGATGAATCCCCCTTGGTCATGGTGAATAATTTTTTGATGTATTGCTGGATTTGATTTGCTAGTATTTTGTTCAGCATTTTGGCATCTATGTTCATCAGGGATATTGGTCTATAGTTTTCTTTCTTTGTAGTGTCTTTTTCTGGTTTTGGAAATAGAATTATGCTGGCCTCAGAAAATGAGTTTGGAAGACTTCCTTCTTCTTAAATTTTTTAACATAGTTTGAGGAGAATGGGTGTTAGTTCTACTTTGAATGTTCGGTAAAATTCCCCCGTGAAGCCTTCCGGGCCTGGGCTTTTGTTTGCTGGGAGAGTCTTGATTTCATCTTCAATTTCTTTTGTTGTTATTGCTCTGTTCAAGTTTTCTCTTTTCTCGGTTCAGTTTTGGGAGACTACGTGTTTCTAGAAATTTGTCCATTTCGCCTAGATTGTCAAATTTGTTGCCATATAATTGTTCATAATATGTTAACAATCTTTTGCATTTCTGTGGTGCCAGTTATTATTTATCCTCTTTCATTTCTGATTTTGTGTATTTGGGTTCTCTATCTTTGTTTCTTGGTGAGTCTAGCTAAGGGTCCATTAATCTTGTTTATCTTTTCAAAGAACCAGCTCTTTGTTTTATTGATCCTTTGAATTTTTGTTTTTTGGTCTCAATGTCATTTATTTCTGCTCTGATCTTTACTATTTCCTTCCTTCTACTTGCTCTGTGGTTTTCATTTTGTTTGCTCTCTAGTTCTTTAAGTTGTGAAGTTAAATAGTCTATTAGAGATTTTTCTTGTTTTGTGAGATAGGCCTGTAGTGCTATGAACTTCCCTCTCAGAAGTACTTTCGCTGCATCCCACAGATTTTGTGTTGTTGTGTCTTCATTTTCATTGGTTTCCAGGAAGTTTTTAATTACTTTCTTGATCTCCATGGTAACTCATTAATTGTTCAATAACATGCTATTTAGGCTCCATGTGTTCAAATGTCTTTGCATGTTCTTGTTGCAATTGATTTCTAGTTGCATGCCATTGTGATCTGAGAAGATGCTTGATATGATTTCAGTCTTTTTGAACTTCTAGAGATTTAGTTTGTGCCCTAACATGTGGTCTATCTTTGAGAATGTCCCATGTGCACTTGAGAAGAATGTGAATTCTGCAGTTTTGGGGTGTAATTCTCTGTAGATATCTATTAAATCCATTTGATCTAACACTTCATTTAGAATTTGTGTTTCCTTGTTAATTTTTTGTCTAGATGATCAATCCAGTGATTTCAGCTGTGTGTTGAAGTCCCCTGCTACTCTTGTATTGCTGTTGATTTCTCCTTTGTAGTCCCCCAGAAGATCTTTAATATATGTTGGTGGTCCTATATTGAGTGCATGTATGTTTACCAAGGTTATATCTTCCTGTTGGATAGATGCTTTCGATATTATGTAGTGGCCTTCTTTATCTCTAGTTAGTGCCTTCATTTTGAAATCTACTTTATCAGATATGAGTATTGCTACCCAAGCTTTTTTTTGCTTTCTGTTTGCATGGAAGATGTTTTCCATCCCTTCACTTTCAACCTATGTGCATCTTTTATTGTGAGGTGGGTCTCTTGTAAACAACTTATAGATGAGTCATGCTTTCTTCTCCAGTCAGCTGCTCTGTGTCTTTTTATGGGAGCATTCAATCCATTTACATTTAAGGTGAATATTGATATGTACTTATTTATTGCCATTTTTGTTTAGTGTGGTTCTATTTTTCCTGTTTCTTTTAATTATAGCAGTCCTTTGAGCATATCTTGCAGTGCTGGTTTGTTGTTAATATATTCCCTTAGCCTTCTTTTTGTGTGTCTGGGAAGCTTTTTATTTGACCTTCTATTTTGAATGATAGTCTTGCTGAATAGAGTAGTCTTGGATTCAGATCCTTGTTTTTCATGACCTTGATTACCTCATGCCGCTCCCTTCTGGCGTGTAGTGTTTCTGTTGAGAAGGCAGCTGAGAGCCTGATGGGGTTTCCTTTGTAGGTAACCTGTTGCTTATTACTTGCTGCCTTTAGGATTCTCTTTTTGTCTTTAATTTTTGGCATTTTAATTACTATGTCTCTTGGTGTGGGCCTGTTTGAGTTCTTCTTACTTGGGGCTCCCTGTACTTCTTAAACTTGAATGCCTTCTTCCTTCACCAAGTTAGGAAAGTTTTCTGTCACTCTTTGTTCAAATATATTCTCTAACCCTTGACCATTTTCTTCCTCTTCGGGGACTCCTATGATGCAAATGTTATTATGTTACCAGTTGTTCCACAGTTCTCTTAAGCTTTCTTCCTGTTTTTTAATTGCTTTTTCCTTTTGGTTTTCTGATTGGTTGACTTTTTCTACCCTGTCTTCTAATTCACTTATCCGATCCTCAGCTTCCTATACTATGCTGGTTAGTCCTTCCAATGTGTTCTTTATTTCTGCTATGTAATTTTTCATTTCCACTTGGTTGGTTTTCAATGTTTCTATATATTTACTCATGGTGCTGATGTCCTTACTCATGCTGTTGAGCTTCCTCAAGCTCTGAACTCTACCTCTGATAATTTGCTTAGCTGCATTTTATTTAACTCATCTTCAATAGAGTTCTCCTAGTCTTTCATTTGGGATTTGTGTCTTTGTTTCACCATTTTGGCTATCTCAGTGGGTTTTGGAGCCTGCCAAATTTTCCCTATGATGTTGGTGTTCTGCTGTTTGTGGCTCCCTCTACTGGGTTTGAATGGGCCTGGGTGGGCCCACGTTAAACACCACTGTCAAGTCTTACTTTCCTGGGTAGATTTGCAAGCTAAGGAAAGGTTCAGTTATCCTCTAGCTTTTTCCTGGAAGCTAGTAGTCTCAGTTACTCAGTGCCTTGGAATGTAGTCCTGGTGTTCTGCATAAGAGGATTTCCAGAGGGTGTTAATGAGCCTCAATTTGCATTTCTTTGCCTCACCTGGGAAAGGCTGAATCGGGGGGGGGGGGGGGGGGGGGCTGCTGCGTTTTCCCACAGCTCTGGGAAGGAGCACATTGGCCACCATATTTTGTGTCCGCTACTCACCAAAATCTCTGAGTGCCTTCCATATCTCGGCTGTTCCCACAGTATTCCAGCCCAATATGCCCTCCTTCTGCTGTAGCCCCCAGGAGAGTGGCTGTGACTATTTTAGTGCTCTGTCCCAGCTCTCTGCACTGTGGAGTGGGGTTGGTCTTTATTCCCCAAGGGCGCTGCTCACAGCTAAGACTGCTGCTGTCTCTGGGCTCCTAGCTCTCCACCCTCTCGCTCCTCCCCATATCCTACCAGTATCCCTGGTTATATGGTCCTGTCCTGCTGCTTTTCTGTTGCTTTTTTCTAAGGATTTTTCTTTATTTTAGTTGTAATTCCTGTTTGGTCCTGGGAGATCGTCAGTGTAGCTTCCATTCACTCTGCCTCCATTTTCATGTCCTCTAAGCCTATCTTGTGCGCAGCTGAGTCACACAGGCCTCTCTGGTACCCCCACACTCTGCAGGTCCCGTGGTAACTGGATTGCATAGTCCCTTTGGGGACCTGGTTCTATGCCTATTTTATGGATTGCTGGGTCGCACTGGCCTCTCTGGTGCTTCAGCACCCTGCAGATCCCGAGAGTAACTGTATCGCACAGTCCCTGCTGGGCTGCACAGGCCTCTCTGCTGCTTTAGCACCCTGTAGGTCCTGTGGGTAACTGGATTGAACAATCCCTGCTGGGTTGCACTGGTGTCTCTGGTGCCCCTGCACCCTGCAGGTCCCACGGGTGGGCAGCTGGATAGCACTAGTCTCTCCAGGGCTCCAGCTTCCCACTGCTCTTGTGAGCCGCTGGACTGCACAGGCCTCTGTGGAGCCCCATTTCCCGCTGCTGGTGGCTGGGGAGTGCTGCTGCCCCGTGGGACTCAACTCCTGCTCACCTTTTGCTGTAGTTTTTGGGGATGGGTCTCAGCTGCTGGTCTGTGCTTCTGTTGCCTGGGGATGTATGTCTGCTCCCCAGTCTCTGTTGCTGGGGGTATATCTTGACTCTGATGGGGCTGCTACTATGGAGGATGGTGCTGGGCTCCGGGCTGTTTGCAGCTTCCATAACTGGCACCTTGGGAGCTCCACTACTGTGCACCAGTCTGTGTTGACACAGAATGTCCACTGGTCTGATGGTTTCAGGTGCGCTGGTGGGCTCATGTTGCTGTACCCTAGCTGCTCCCACTGCCTCCTCCCAGGGAAGACCCGGGATCTTCCAAAATGTTGGGGCCTTCCCACAGCGCAGGGAGAAGTGCCCTGAAGAGCAGCTTATCGCGGTAGCTACTACTCCTGTCCACAGCACAGGAACTTTCTGTTGGGTATCTCTGCACTGCTCGGGTTTGGTCGTCCACCTTCACATCCACTCACACTCTCACACACTTGCTCATTCTCTCACACACTCACCCTCCCTCCCGTCCTGCCAGCCGCCATCTTCACATTTATTGACATTTTAAAATCTCCGATGACTTGGTCTATAGGCACAGAATCTTTGTTCACTCCAAGAATACACAGCAAGCAGATTTAGAAGCTATATATATGTGTGTGTGTGTATATATGTAATCATTTTATATTTAGAAACAAATATATAGCTGTATTTTATATATGTAAATATATATAATAAAAATGTTTTTTTCTTTATATTTATATATAACTTAAATATAACTGTGGTCTAATTCTTACCGAATAAAACTGGAGGTTCTGCCCTTATTCCTGATTTAAAAGTGGGATGGTCACAGACAATCCTTGCAATATCTGAGTTTCTTTATAATAATATTGCTATGAAATAAAATCATTTGTGACATAATCTTTCTTTTCTATCAGTAATGATGCCAGAGATCAATTTTAGAAATTTTAATAAAATTGCAGTTATGCCCATCACTGTGTTTCTCAATTTGTGTGTCATGGAAAGCAATAGTGTCCCTCAGAAGAATCGGAGTTACAAAAGTTTGAGAAACACTGCATGCATATATCACTGCCTTAAAGTTTTATAATGTACATTTACATAGCAAAAGGCTGTGAAAATTTCTGTATTTCAAAATAAAAGACTAAACTTTGTCTTAACAATTACTGAATGGTACTTAACCATGAACTTATCTTTAAGAGCAACTAATGTTTTGAAGAACTTAGTTTGTTGGATTACTGTACTGTTTGGGCTTTTAGAAGTTTTCATTAAGGCTGTTAGATGGTAGCTTTCAGAATCTTCAGAATAAATATACAACTTTCTTCCAAATCAATGACAACACAATTTTTTGGACCACTCAGCAGGCATTAAGAATAAACATGAAGTTTGAAGGTAGAAACCTGAGTAGCTCATTTTGTCCAAAAGATTTACAAAGGTATTTTGTCAGCCTTTAATGTATTTTTTAAATGCTGATAAGATTATTTGGTATTGGGCTCTACCTAATAGGAAACTGCTGGCCCACTTATGCACAGGAAAACAGGCAGTAGTCAATAAACTCAACTTCTGTCTTTCTTTGCACTCCTTAAGTTTGAATACCAAGTTTAGAATCCGTAATCCCAGAAGACATGGATCCTTTCTACATGGTTTCCTCTCCCTCTGTCTTCAGCTCTCTTCTTATCCCAACACCTTTTCTACCTCCATCCCACACCCATCAGTACAACTCACCTGAATAGGAGTGTTGGGTGTCAACACTAGACTGCTCTGAAGTACCACCAATTGCACAAATCCCTTCCTTCTTATTGATTGCTTTTCTAAAGGTCTTGGCAACATCAGTGCTTTTTAGGCCATGAAAAACCTGCAAAAATATAATGTATCTATAGAAACCCAATATGTGATCAAGAAAATCACAAAGATTATGCAATGCTAAAACAAGGAGAGTAAAAATGCATTTCTGGATATATATATATATATATATATATATATATATATATATATATATATTTAAATTAAAGTCCCTAGTTTCAAATGCATCTCCTTGTATTCTGCATCATACTCACCTTGATAAACTCATCAAAGCTGATCTTCCCATCCTGGTCCAGATCACCTGTAGCCATCAGGTTTTCTGTAATTTCTCTCACTCTGTACCCAGGCAGAGGCAGGCAAGCAGCCTTGAACAAGTCATTTAATTCATTGCAGCTGATGTACCCATTCCCATCAGTATCTGTAAGGCATATGACAAGCTGTAGTTTGAGCAATTCAACTAAAAACATGAAGAGAGATGAAAGAAAGCTAGGTGGAAAGTGAGCAGGCAGCAGATGCACTCATTCAGGGGCCATGGCCTGATTCCATGCAAGAGTCAGAATCTCACAAGAGGCCTGTTGCTATTGGATATGGTCATTAACATCATTTCCAACATCCAAGAGTCATAATTTCAAAACAGAGGTCTGGCAACAGAATCTAAAGAAACTCTAATAGAATCAAATAAGGAAATAAACCATAGGCTTAGAGATAAAGAGCAAGAAAAAGTATGAAATAAAAAAGAAAACAAATATATACCAAAATAAATAAATAACAACAAAGTCAAACAATGTAGATGCAATAAAAAGATGAGACTGAGGAGCCATTTCCAGGGAAAGCTACAGGTAAGAAAGGGTTCATAGTCCATGTTTAGATAGACAAAGATGTATTTTTCCTGAACGATGTCTTTCAGAACTAAGTTCCTTAGTGTCTTCAACCAATGCCATTCTATTCTTGTCACTTCTGCTATTTTTCTCATTTTACCATTTCAATGAATCTGTCCTGAAGTTAATAAAGGGAATTGTGCTGCTGCTTGAGGTACCAGATCTACTCACCAATTTTGGCAAAAGCTTCTCTGAGTTCCATCATTTCTTCATCGGACACTGAGCCTCTGGCCATTTTGTATTGCTTTAGGTAGGCGATCTGCAGAGGGAGAGAACATAAGGAATGACTCTTGTGCCTATTAATTGTTAATGTGCCAATTTCCTTAAGAAGCAATCTTCATTTATTCAGGAAGAAATATTTCTAGACATCCCTCTTGATTTGTAACTATCTTTCAAGAGTATAAGAAGTATATGTATTTTTAAACCTTCCACGTGGCGCTGTCCAAAGATGGCCCTCTCCAGTCTCTGCTCTCCCTGTTAGGTACTGACTGCTGCTTCCATCAGGGGTGAAGCTTACTTCCCTCCCCTTGGATCTGGGCTGATCCTGTGACTGCTATGACCATTTGGAAGGCTGGAGAATCCATGTCTGGAACTGGGAACTGCTGCTTCCTTCCTTATGGAATGCTCATCCTTGGGATGTTCCCTCTCACAGCCATGCAGGGAGATGTCCAAGCCACATGAAGAAGCCAACAAAGGAGACCTGGATACTCGAGTTAACAGTTCCTGTTGTGCTCTCCTCAGCGGCCAGCTACCTGACTAGGCCATTCTGGATGCTTCAGCCCATTTGAGCCCCCAGGTGTCCACAGTCCCAGTCTACATTACATGAAGCAAAAAAATCACCCAGCTGTGCCCATTAAACCAATACAGTCAAGAGAGATGATAAATGATCATTTTAAATGACTAAACCTTGGCGTAGTTTGTTACACAGAAATATACAACTAAAACACAACTTTTACCTAGAGGCCTTTTAGACATATTATCACATTTGTATTTAAAATTAATATGTTTGGCCAGCCCAACAGATACATTTTATAACTGACAAGGAAGTTATCAAAGTTCTAAATATATTTAGGGAAAAAGGAAGACAATTTGACCCACTAAGAATTCATATATGGAAATCTAAGGGGCCTCTAGGTGTTCTCTTCTCAGAAAGGCTAGTTTTGCTGACAAACTCAATGCCAGTTTGTCACTGGAACACTTTCCCTTTCCCTGTGCATCATTGCTGCTTTCAGGTGGGTAAAGAGAATGAAACAGAAAATGAACTATTTGGAGAATATAATGCCCCTAGCTAACCCACACCAGCATGTTTCAAATAGGAGTTCCACTGCAGCTTACTGAATTTCCTGGAGAATGGGGGTATTTCTATAATTATATTTTGGGCATTTTACTAAAAGTACTGATTTTTAAAAATATTTTAAACTTGTGAAAGGATGTTGCTTTAAATTGATTTCCTTTTCAACATTTTCACATTTTTCTATAATGCAATACTCATTCCCAGTGGCAAACAACAGCACACAAATAGGAAACAGTTTTAATACATACACCTGCAGGCCAAAAATGCGTTATGCTAAATTTTGAAAATCCACCTTTATTACTAACCAATTTATTATACTGTCATGTACATATAGTAGTGCTTTCAAACTTTTGTTTCTCCTGTGACCCTTTGTTAACAGAAACTTTATATGCAAATGAAAGTGAACAGATAAAAAACAAAACAAAAAACAATGCTGGGAACCTTTGGCTGAAGAAACCCAAATGCCCCCTGCCCCCACAATCCCTCCTCCTTGTCACCTTGTGTACCAGTGGGAATGACAGGGAGCATGGTTTTAAAACTGTGGGATGACATATATTGTTATTTTTGCAATTCCTTAAAAATATATTTTATTATCATTAAAATTAATTTTATTATTACTTGCCTTATATATCTAAAAAGGTATTGGTTCATTGGGTTCTCTGAAGGATAGTGGAAATGCTATGGCCTTCACAGTATAAGCAAACACAGTCTCATTACACAGCACAGTGACCCTCAGAGGCAGGTCCTGGCGTCTGGCTTTCTTGTCTTCACTTCATTTCCCTTCCTTCCTTTTCTTGGTCTGTCTGTCTCTCTCCCTCCTTTATTTCTTTTCCTTCTTCTGTCTTTTTCACTGTCTTGTTCCAAAAACAATTTAAGCCAGGTTACAAAAACATATCTAAATTTAAGAACTGAACCAATAAGATTATGTAATCTGTGAGAAGGAGAAATAAGACGTTGGCAGGGAAGAACATTAATACTTCAAATACATGGTCAGCACTGCATATTTTGCCAGAAGTGAGCTGAAAATCTAGCTCCATGTTTGCTAGAAGCTAATGCAAAATGGGAAATACTATTGGTTACATAATTCACTCTATCTATATGAGACAAATGAACCCATTTTCTTAGGGCTGCAGAAATGAGGCTGATAGCAATACCTTATTCAGGCCCCTTTGCAAAAGAAGACACTGTGGCAGTAGTAAACACAATTTCGTGGGTTTTTTTTTAAATGTTCCTCAGTGAGTGTATATATATTCTCATTTTTTAGAGCAAGATGCAGAAGCTCAAGAAAATTGAGATATGTTATCTCAGATTACACAGGTAGGTAGAAGAGCAGTTAGGATTCCAATTCTCAGCCTTTTCTCCTTTCTCATTATGTCTATTGATGTTCAATACCTTCACATTTCTGTTAGGCACTCATTTCATCCATCCATTCAGTCACTCAGAATCTTTCCATTGAGTATCTTTAATATGTATAACCCATGGGAGATGAAAAATAACTCTAACACAAAGAGCATATTTAGGTGCTCTAGCTTAGGAAGCTTTTGCTTTCATGTGTTAAGAAATCAAGTCTTCTGTTTTAAGAAAGTAGTGTATAACCTTACATTTTACTAAATTTGTGTGATTAATTTGGTTTGGTTCAACTTTTATTCTCTAACAGTACTACATATATGTAGTAAGAGAAGGCTCTCACCCATCATATTTTAACAAGGCTTTTGGTAAAATCTGGTCTAAAGCCCTAGAACTGGCTGGCCCTTCATGGTTTTAGGTATCTTAACACCTGTCCTGTTGGTTCATAAATGTTCATGAGCTTATGAAATAAATTTATTCATTTAATAAATATTCAGTGAATGTCTACCACAAGCCAGACACTGTTTTTCATCTCAGGGGAGGCATGTCTACACAAACTTGGTTACCCAGGAAGCGCGAGACAATGTGGAAGGTAAAGAGAATGAATGGATCTCTGAACTGAAACTGGACTCTATCCTTTGACATGAGTTTTAGATTTTAGACCACTGTGAAAGACTGGTGAGAAATACAAGTAAAGGCAGGAAATGAGGATGTATTTTAAGGGTCAAAAGCAGGACCAAATAAGAAAAGAAAGAATTATATTTTGAGGTGGAGAAAATAATAAATGAAGACCATGCTATAGTAAAAAAGTAGAAAAAACATTTTAGCCTAAATATTGCATGGCCCATTCATATATAAGACCTAGAAAGAGAAAAAAAGCATTGTAATGAATCCATGTGATTTTTAAGCCATGGCAGGTAGGTCAAGATGAAAAATCTGAGCATCTGAATAACCACATTTTGCTGAGATTTATAAATGGGATCAATTCAGAGAAGCCATATAGTGAGACAGCCTTCAAATTTTAAAAATCCAAAACACATCAATGATTAAATAACCAAAGGAAAAAAGAGTAGATTGAAATAGCTTAAAAGATGAAATTGGAGAATGAATAGTCAACAGCCTAAGTTACTGGGATACTGTTTGCTGGGTGAGTCGCCTTTAACATCAGAACAAGCAGAAAGTCTGGAAACACAACCCAATTTTTAGAGACAGAAGGAATCTAAGGAATAATTTATTACAACCACCTCATTTTATAGGTCAGGAGACTGAAGGTCTAATAAAATAAAATGCTTTGTCTACATACAAGTTCTCAAAGTAATGCCAGGCAACAATTTGTCAACACAGTTGCTGGTGAGCAGAGCAGCACAAGAATGCAAAGACCATTAAAAGGGCCATTATAGTCCATAACTGCAAAGAGATCCTTTAACTAATTGAACTGGGTGTGCAAACAGCAGCATTTTTCACAAAGCAGAGAAACAGGAGGACAAAGTCATTAACATGCAGATCAGACCATTTCTAAGAAGGACATTATTGAGGTTAGAATAAAATATTAGGTACTTGACATACTCTTCTAACAATGTGTTTGCCTGGAAAAAAATACAACCATTTTAATGCATACCTATTTGAAGGTATGAGTTACAATAATGTTGGTAAAATTCATAAAGACAATTGGTGAGTGTTTCAATTTTCAAATTACTGGCACCATATTGGCAGCAGATTCTAGAGAGGTCACTACATTAATGAAGCATTTGGAGTCTGAAAAAGTGAAAGGCATGTCCTTTCCAGGGCGTGAATGAGTAGTTCCTGCAGCACTGCTTTACTGCTTCTGCAGTGTGGCACTTTTAATGACTGCATCATCTCACTGTGCCCTGCCTGCAACCGCTTTAGGGTCTCTTGTAAATCAGTGGTAAATTTTGGAACCTTGTTTTTGAATCACTGCCCAAATCTAAAGAAGTGAAATGTACAATACGGCCTTCAACACAAAATCTAAGAAGAAAAATCTCAAACCATTCTCTAATTCACATCTGGCTGCTAATTATTTTGTGAGCAAATACATTTATTAAATCAATAGTTATAGAAACCCATGACATTTGGCCAAAGAAAGTACTGGTTGTTCATTGTTATAAGATTATTTTTAATATCATAAGAGAATCAAATAACCCCTCAACTGTCAAAAGCCACAAAACCTGATCATTTCTCTAAGTCAGTGAGTTTTGAGTCCCTTCCTAAAGGAGGCTGATATTTTTCAGATTGGCAGTGAAAGCAAATTTCTGAGAATGACTTCTTATAATAAAAGCACCTGCCTCAAATCTCTGAAGTCTGAATATAGAAACTATTTGTAGGTGTTTACTATAGCATACAGAGCTATAGGATTTACAAAAGGAAATTTGTTTTCTAAAATAAATGTAAAACTGTAAGCTGAATTTTCTCGGAGTAGAGAAAACTAATAACGAGAAGGAGCAGAAAGAAACAGGTGACTTATTTGGAGTGAAATGCTCATGGGCTGGCATAATTTCTGAAATGTGACAGGTGTGTTGGTCAGTGTTTTGATTCAATATATTGATGTCCAATTATATAACTGCCAGGATCAGGGTTACACCTGTAACTGGCATCACATT